ACGTAGCCAACCATGCTAATCGGAGGTGTGGGGGGAAGGACAACACAAAAAGCAGTTCTAAAGAAATTAGTTTGTCAATATAGATAATTTAAAAGTGCATAGCTCCAGTGGCTTCCTAATATCGGAAGTAAGAGCATTTCCAGATGGCCGCAGAAATGTATCTGAAAGCACGCGATGTGGTAACCGTCTTTGTTCGTGGCCAGCCGATAGCCGCTGCTGCTGTAAGGATGACCAGAGTTTGCGTGATGGTTTATGCTCCTTGACGACATCAGCAAGGTGTTGTGGTTCATTTGTGGCCAAAATTATCCAAAAGAGAAGGTTATTGGGGTATTATCGCGTAAATGTGAATGTGTTGTTAAACCCACCACCACCTAACACAGCCAATTAGTAAGGTCTGTCACGTAAACAAAAAATGCCAATGAGTTACTAGTTCAGCACACCCGGTGTGTTGAAGAGTAAACTTACAACATTTACAATTTGAGTTCCATGACATTTCGCTGGTAATTACAACTATCCCCATCAGGCAATATCACACTTTGTGTGTGTAATGATTGCAACCTTATGATGCCACAAGTGGCATGCTACAACCCAGCTCTGTGGAGGTAGCAGTGAGGGTTGGTGGATTGCGTGCACAGATGTTGTTGTGAAAACTCCCTTCTTCCCGTGTGCGTTCAGGAGGGTGCCGTACCGCCTTCTCCTGGCGAGCCAGGTCGACCCGACTTGTTTTGTTTGATGACGGGATAGAGAGTTTCCCCCTCGCACCTGTGGGATTTCATCCGGGTGCTGCGGTTTTCCTCAGATGTAAAAACACAAGTCATTGGCCGATGACGACACCGACATTTCTAGGGGACCGCAGACCTTGGGCAGTTTTTCGGCAGCAACGGCTCCTGCTGCTTTCCCGTGAGTTTGTGGTTCCTCCTCCCCGCTGCTGACCCCTCTTGAGTCGTCCCCTCTCTCTCACTCTCTTCTTTACGAGATTGAACCCTGTGTGGTGGCGGCACGTTACAGGTTTAGTTTTGTCGTCAAGTAACCAGCATAGAGGGGCGGAAACCAAACTAACGAGAGGGGTGGAGCCATTACTTTCTTCGAGTTCGCACAAAAAAAACCTCATTATAATCAAGAGAAGGCGCAATGCACTGTGGTGAATGCGAGACACCGGTGGGTCGTGGTTCCCTTCATAAACAACGCCACGGAGCGGTCCTTAAAGAGCCGATATGTGGGTCCTCCGGAGCCGCAGTTTGCCGACCCCCTGTAACTGTATGAGCAGGAACCCGTGGAAACTTCGGCGGTAAATAGATGACCAATATGGATGCGTTATCACTACTCCCACTCCTACACCTCGCTAATGTTGCGTGACGTCATAACCCCTGCCCCCTCTCCTCACCACTCCCACGTCTCTTGACGTTAGCCCCTCTCCTCACTAACGCGCCCCAATCTAGCGGGATGTAATCACCCCCTCTGCTCCAACAGCCCAGAGTCTGTGAGGTCATCATCCCGCTCCCCTATCAACCCCACCCCTTCAACTCACCAGCGTGGCTAACCCCCACTCCCTCCCCACCCGGCCAAAATGTTTATTTTTATTGACTATAAAACGATTTCTATTTGTACTCCTTGGTTCTATTTGATCAGGTAAAGCCTTCTTGAGCTGCATAGCTCTTTTTCAGGAGCAACCTGGCCTCAATTGATAGCTCAACAAAGTGGCTTATCACGTGGAAATTTATAGCAGCCAAATACTCTAAACGTGTAATGTGGATTATAAATGTGGAGGGAAAAACCGGAGGACCCGTAGAAAAATCCACGCGACCACGGGTAGAGAGACACGCAAACTCTAAATATACAGGCATCAGCGTCGGGATCGATCCCACGAACTTCTGTATACAAGGTGAGGTAGTGAACATCTCGCCACCGTGGCGCCCTCATAAACTGGTGCATTACAGACATATTGACACACAAACAAGGGCTTTATTACTTAGAGACGAGTATAATTACACAATCTCTCATCCCAATACGGGCGTCCTTCACGTAACGCGTGACGCATGCGTTCCTGAAAAAATTATCGCTCAAGTCGAAGCGCGCTTTTGTCTGAAGCCGATTTCCCCCACAGACATACGGTGTCACAAGGGGGCGGGGGGTGCGTTATTTAATCAATTTAGGCCCTGCATTTACCATGTACGTATACATTTAACATTTAATGAAAACAAATATTAGCGTGACAAACATTACTCAATAAGAAGGTTACTCCCAATAAGAAGGTTACTCCCAGCCCGTGGCACTGGGCACTGCCACGTGCCTGTGACGTCATCACATTGAGATTTTAGTTGGTTGACCTGGGGGGGTGGGGGGGAAACTTTTATTTTAATCTTTGAAAATTTTAACAACAAATATATTACAATAGTTTTTGTTATTTTCTCGGGCGCGTAAACTGTGAAACGCATGGCATGCGTGTGAAGTACCTCCCTCAAGGATGAATCGCGGAGACTGCGAATTTGTGCGACGGGAATGCCCGTGTGGTTAGTTTGTTGTCCTCACGAATCTTCGACTCGTGTGGCTGGCTACGTACGGTGCGAAAGAAGTTCAACATGCAATACACATCCATTAATAATTTAACAATTATTGTTGATTACAATTGGTGTGATAACTATTATTGAGAATGATTAATAATTACATTATATATTATGATGTATATACATAACAATAATGACTATGTCAACTCGTGACACGCCACCGCACAGGAGTCGCTACCTCTTTGAGAGAGAGGACGACTTGGAGGCGCTAGAAGGAGGAGCCATCGACGAGTGGTAAGGCACCTGGAGCCGCTGCCAAATTCTCCCCCCGCTCCTGCTCCTCCTCCAAGCTCCGTGGTCCTCTGTATATGAAGGCGTTGTCGGCCAGTTAATGGGTGTGGGAGGAAACCGGAGCACCCGGAGAAGACCCCCACAGCAATCTCCTGCCGCTCAATTGCACGTTGAGGCATCGGCGGTCGCCTCCTGTTATTGCAGCTGTTGGAGAGCGAGCGGTGTTTGTTGTACGTCGCCAACCGTGCCGATCGGAAGTGCGGGGCAAGGACAACTAACTAACACACGCAAAGCAGTTATAAAGAAGTTCGTTTTCAATTTAGGTTTAAAGTGCATAGCTCCAGTGGCTTCCTAATATATCGGACGGAAGAGCCTTTCTGACAGCCACAGAAGCGCATCCAAAAGGCGCGATACATTGGTTGAACACAAGCAAAATCTCTGAACCGGTTTCAGTATTCAAAATCTCGTCGGCAGAGTCGGCAGCATTCCTTGAACTAATGCCGGTGAACTGCCAGTTGTTTGTAGGCAAGGCCCGGTTTCGACATGTAATGTCTCATCGTCAGCAGAGTAGTCAGTTTGACCCAATGCTGAACTGCCAGTTGTTTGTAGGCAAGGCCTGGTTTCGACATGTAATGTCTCATCGTCAGCAGAGTAGTCGGTTTGACCCAATGCTGAACTGCCAGATGGTTCTATGCAACGACCGGTTCGGTGCCTCATCAACAGTGACAGACTTTGCTTGAACCAATGTTGGTTTTACTGCCATGTGTTATAGGCAATGACTGGTTTTGATATTCAGTGTCTCATTAGTAGCAGAGTCTGGTTCGGTTGACACAATGCTGTTGAACTGCCAGATGTTTTATAGGCAAGGGACCCCTCTGCTAGATGCGGGTCCCAGTTCGACACAGATCTTATGCTCTCCCACTAGAGGCGTGCGTCTGATGGGATGTGTAACAAAATGTATGCTTGTGTGTTTCCACGTGGAGCGACGGATGGGTGACCGCGCGGGCGCCGTGTTGCCTGCTTTGTGATTTCGGTTTCTACATTCTCCACTGGGACGCTCACGTTTTGTTCAGCATAACAGAAATATAGGGCCCTTGGTCCATCCACTGCTGGATGAAGGCATCGCCACGGCCGTGCCAGTCAATGGGGGGGGGGGGGGTTGTTTGGCCATGCTTCACCATTCTGGTCAGTGCAGCGGGAGGGGTGGTTGGAGGGAGCAGGGTGGGGGGGGGGTGTCTCGTGGCGAAATGTTGGCTCCCTCCCCTGGTATATAGATTATCTAATTAGTCTTGGCCAGTAGTAGCTAATTTTGCACAGAACTTCAGCATTATCAAACGGGACGAATGATCAGCACGAGACTAAAAGAACACAAATGAAATATTAAACACTCCCAGATACAACTGTCAGCAATAGCAAAACACGCGTGCCAACAAGGACACTCAATTTATTTTTGATGACGTTAAAGTACGACATATGATGACGCAATGCCCCGATCCACAAATACGAAGGAGACATCATGGCGATGGTGCGACACTCCGCTGCTGCTGATGTGGTTGTCTTCTGGCTTGACCACCTGAATGTGAAATTGTAGTTGTTGGTTCTGTATCTAAATCAGCAGCCAAACAAGAAGAAGAGACGGATCCATATTCGCGCAAAGTTAAAAAAAACTACTCAGCACATTCACTCAGTTTGCTTTTGCACACACTGGGCAGTAAGCAATCATCGGCCACTAATGGCAGCAGTCTCATGCCAGCTCGCAGGCTAGGCACCGAGTCACCTCGTGGTGCACAGAGACAGCTGCTGCTTGCGGGAGGGGGGGGGGCTTTCGAATGTTTTAGATGAGATATGAGATGCGACGACCCAAGACGCTTTGAGTTGCTGGGCATGTATAAGTAAGCTCCGCTGTATGAATGCAAATATTCACGTTACGTTAAAGAGAAAATTGTGATCATGACTTGCGGTGGATATTGCGATTTTTGGATTGCGGTGGTGCGGCGGCGGATTGCGTCCGTGGATTGCGTCCGTGGATTGCGTCCGTAGATTGCAATCGTGGAATGCGATCCTGGATTGTGTCCCTGGATTGCGATGGTGGGTTGCGACGGTGGAATACGACCGTGGATTTGCGTACGCGGATTGCGACGGTGGATTGCGACAGTGATATGACTGACCCGTGTGTTGTGCTGCGTGGTGCGCATCTCGTTGCAGACATGAGGATGAGTGATTCGCCAGACGCTGCTAAACACACACTGGATGGGCAGGAGGGCAGCCCAGGTCTGTGCTGGACCCAGGAGCCGTTCGCTACAGCTCATATCCCCCTCCTGCTGCAACAGCAGCAGCACAGCCAAAACCACCACCAGCACAGTAAACACAGCCAACCACCACCACAATCACCACCACAACCACCACCGCAACCACAGCCACCAGGATAAACATAGCTACCTCAACCACCACAATTAACACAGTCACAACCACCACAACCACCACAACAGCCACCATGATAAACACAGCCACCACAATCACTACCAGCAGAGTAAGCAAAGCCACCCCACCAGCACTACCATGTTTGGTGCATAATTATTGGTGCATAATTCCCACTCATGCTGCCATCACAACCACTGTCACACAACCGTTACTGCCCTAAAGCTACAACCACCGTCACAACAGGCACCGGCACCGGCATCCACTGCCCCAGCGACGTCACACGTGACCACACGCTCAGTTCGGGGTCCCCTCTGTGTCAGACATCAGTGAGTGGCAGCGCTGCTCTGGTGACTGTGGCTCAGTGCGGGGTCCCCTCCGTGTCAGACGTCAGTGAGTGGCAGCTCTGCTCTGGGGACTGTGGCTCAGTGCGGGGTCCCCTCCGTGTCAGACGTCAGTGAGTGGCAGCGCCACTCTGGGGACTGTGGCTCAGTGCTGGGTCCCTTCCATGTCAGACGTCAGTGAGTGGCAGTGCTGCTCTGGTGGCTCTCAGAGTCACCTGACAACATCAAAAGCCATGGACATCTCCCTATGCACACTCGGTCCTACCCAATTCAGAGCGCGCATTTTGAGATTACGGATGCGCATGTTAGTTCGTAAATTCTGTGCTCGGTCTCTAATGCCTTGTGCGTGCTGTGTATTTTGTGCAGGTGTGTGTGATGTGGGCACTGTGTGTGCTGTGTATTGACTTCGGACTGTGTGTATGCACTGTGTTGATTGTGTGTTTGTGTATTCTATGCTGGGTGTGCTGTGCATGTGAACTGTGTATTAACTGTGTGCAGTGTGTACTGCGTGCTGTGTACTGTGTATTGACAGCGTGCTGTGTATTGATTGCGTGCTGTGCATACTTTGTGCATGTACTGCATGCTGTGTGTACTATGTATTGACTGCAAGCTGTGTGTGCTGTGTATTGACTGTGTGCTATGTGTGCTGTGTATTAACTGTGTACTGCATGCTGTGTGTACTGTGTATTGACTATGTACTGTGTGGGCTGTGTATTGACTGTGTGCTGTGTGTACTGTGTATTGACTGTGTACTGCATGCTGTGTGTGCTGTGTATTGACTGCGTGCTGTGAGTACTATATATTATTCACTGTGTGCTTTTTGTACTGCGTGCTGTGTGTGCTTTGTATTGACTGCGTGCTCTATGTACTGTGTATTGACTGTGTACTGTGTGTACTGTGTATTGACTGTGTACTGTGTGTACTGTGTATTGACTGTGTGCTGTGTATTGTGTATTGACTGCGTGCTCTATGTACTGTGTATTGACTGTGTACTGCGTGCTGTGTGTACTGCGTGCTGTGTGTACTGTGTATTAACTGCGTGCTGTGTGTACTGTGTATTGACTGTGCTGTGTGTGCAGTGTATTGACTGTGTACTGTGTATTGACTACATGCTGTGTGTACTGTGTATTGACTGTGTACTGTGTGTACTGTGTATTGACTGTGTGCTGTGTATTGACTGCGTGCTCTTTGTACTCTGTATTGACTGTGTAGTGTGTGTACTGTGTATTGACTGTGTACTGCGTGCTGTGTGTACTGCATGCTCTGTGTACTGTGTATTGACTGCATGCTGTGTGTACTGACTGCATGCTGTATGTACTGTTATTGACTGTGTGCTGTGTGTACTGTGTATTGACTGTGTGCTGTGTGTACTGTGTATTGACTGTGTGCTGTGTGTACTGTGTATTGACTGTGTGCTGTGTGTACTGTGTATTGACTGTGTGCTGTGTGTACTGTGTATTGACTGTGTGCTGTGTGTACTGTGTATTGACTGTGTGCTGTGTGTACTGTGTATTGACTGTGTGCTGTGTGTACTGTGTATTGACTGTGTGCTGTGTGTACTTTGTATTGACTGTGTGCTGTGTGTACTGTGTATTGACTGTGTGCTGTGTGTACTGTGTATTGACTGTGTGCTGTGTGTACTGTGTATTGACTGTGTGCTGTGTGTACTGTGTATTGACTGTGTGCTGTGTGTACTGTGTATTGACTGTGTGCTGTGTGTACTGTGTATTGACTGTGTGCTGTGTGTACTTTGTATTGACTGTGTGCTGTGTGTACTGTGTATTGACTGTGTGCTGTGTGTACTGTGTATTGACTGTGTGTACTGTATATTGACTGCGTGCTGTGTGTACTATGTATTGACTGTGCTGTGTGTGCTGTGTGTACTGCGTGCTGTGTGCTGCGTATTGACTGCATGCTGTGTGTACTGTGTATTGACTGTGTACTGTGTATTGACTCTGTACTGCGTGCTGTGTGTACTGCGTGCTCTGTGTACTGTGTATTGACTGTGTACTGTGTGTACTGTGTATTGACTGTGTGCTGTGTATTGACCGCGTGCTCTTTGTACTCTGTATTGACTGTGTACTGTGTGTACTGTGTATTGACTGTGTACTGCGTGCTGTGTGTACTGCATGCTCTGTGTACTGTGTATTGACTGCATGCTGTGTGTACTGTGTATTGACTGCATGTTGTATGTACTGTTATTGACTGGGTGCTGTGTGTACTGTGTATTGACTGTGTGCTGTGTGTACTGTGTATTGACTGTGTGCTGTGTGTACTGTGTATTGACTGTGTGCTGTGTGTACTGTGTATTGACTGTGTGCTGTGTGTACTGTGTATTGACTGTGTGCTGTGTGTACTGTGTATTGACTGTGTGCTGTGTGTACTGTGTATTGACTGTGTGCTGTGTGTACTGTGTATTGACTGTGTGCTGTGTGTACTGTGTATTGACTGTGTGCTGTGTGTACTTTGTATTGACTGTGTGCTGTGTGTACTGTGTATTGACTGTGTGCTGTGTGTACTGTGTATTGACTGTGTGCTGTGTGTACTGTGTATTGACTGTGTGCTGTGTGTACTGTGTATTGACTGTGTGCTGTGTGTACTGTGTATTGACTGTGTGCTGTGTGTACTGTGTATTGACTGTGTGCTGTGTGTACTTTGTATTGACTGTGTGCAGTGTGTACTGTGTATTGACTGTGTGCTGTGTGTACTGTGTATTGACTGTGTGCTGTGTGTACTGTGTATTGACTGCGTGCTGTGTGTACTGTGTATTGACTGTGCTGTGTGTGCTGTGTGTACTGCGTGCTGTGTGCTGCGTATTGACTGCATGCTGTGTGTACTGTGTATTGACTGTGTACTGTGTATTGACTCTGTACTGCGTGCTGTGTGTACTGCGTGCTCTGTGTACTGTGTATTGACTGAGTGCTGTGTGTACTGTATATTCTTGACTGTGTGCTTTGTACTGCATGCTTTGTGTAATGCATGATGTGTGTACTGTGTATTGACTGTGTGCTGTGTGTACTGCGTGCTCTGTGTGCTGTGTATTGACTGCATGCTGTGTGTACTGTGTATTGACTGAGTGCTGTGTGTACTGTGTATTGACTGAGTGCTGTGTGTACTGCGTGCTCTGTACCGTGTATTGACTGCGTGCTATGTGTACTGCGTGCTCTGTGTGCTGTGTATTGACTGCATGCTGTGTGTACTGTGTATTGACTGAGTGCTGTGTGTACTGCGTGCTCTGTACCGTGTATTGACTGCGTGCTGAATGTACTGTGTGCTCTGTATGCTGTGTATTGACTGCATGCTGTGTGTACTGTGTATTTACTCTGTACTGCGTGCTGTATGTACTGCGTGCTCTGTGTGCTGTGTATTGACTGCGTGCTTTGCGTGCTTTGCACAGGTAAGGAGCGGAATGGGCTGGACTTCCACCGGCAGGTCATCACTTCCGCACAGGCACAGGCCATCCTGGGCCACTTCCAGCAGGTGGCACCACTTACGCACCGCACTTTCACCGCACCCTCACCACACCCTCACCACACACTCACCACACACTCACCACCACACACTGCACCCTCACCACACACTCACCACCACACACTGCACTCTTACAACACCCTCACCACACACCGCACTCTCACCACACCCTCACCACACCCTCACCACACACTCACCACACACTCACCACCACACCGCACTCTCACCGCACCCTCACCACACCCTCACCACACACCGCACCCTCACCACACACTCACCACACACTCACCACCACACCGCACTCTCACCGCACCCTCACCACACCCTCACCACACACCGCACCCTGACCATAACCTCACCACACACCACCGCACACTGCACTCTTACTACACTCGCAGTACCCTCAGTCGCGCATGGCCGAAGCGCAGCGAGTCCCCACGCGACGCCTCCAGGCGACGCTGCTCAGAATCTGGAGTATTTAGACTGCGGCAGGAGGAGTCCGATGAGCCGTGAAGCTCTTTGTCACAGATGTCCACCAGTAGCGTATCCTGAGCCACGGTGTCTGCCTCAACCGTGGCCCGCCCCACAGTTGGCTTCGCTCCCACGCCAGACCGTTGATGATGATGCGCAGGGCTCCTGGTGTGCGATGCACTCACACGCTGATACACTCGCACACACAGGCAGAGATGCCCCGTGTAGCCTTCAACAGACCGTCGCGGCAATTGCTGTTAGCGAGCAGCACCAATGAAGGCCGGCACGGCACGCGAGGAGGTGGGGTGGCCAGCACCACGCCCGGCCGCCTTTGTCTCCCCAGTAACGATGTTTACACACCACACCAGGTACTCATCTGAGGCTAAGTCGATCGAGGGGAATCCCAGGACCGGTTCAGATAATCATTACTTTGGAGTGCGACAGGATAAAACGCAGCAAGTTGGCACAGTGGGGAGCGCAGGTGGTGCATCTGCCAGTCATCTCAGTCAGTCAGTCAACCAATGGCACCTGGGTCTGTCACGTCACCCCCTGTCAGCGAGCCTTGGATACTTCACATGGGTTGTCGCAGTGCACTTAGTTGTGTGTTGACGTGTTAATGTGTGTGTGTGCTGCCTGTAGGTGCATTTGGGTGCTGCATTACAGACGGCCGCCGCCGCACAATCACTCCAGTCGCCGGCATTAAACCTGCAGGTATGGTGGGGTCATCTACAGGGGGGAGGGGGAAGGGGAATCCTGTATGAGGTTTATAGGTAAAGGCTAGGGGAGTGTGTGATGGTATGGGTGTGTGAGATATGTCAGTATGTGGAGTATATGTCTGTCTTTTTGCAACGATGTGCTTGATGTTTGTGTGTATGAGAGTACGTGATGGTGTGCGTGTCAGGAGCGGTAGTGTAGCGGCTAGTGCACTGCGCTATGAACCCGGCGACCTCAGTTAGATTCATGCTCACCACCAACACCAGTGACGATTATCTGAACCGGTGATGGCCCTCTCCTAGGTCGACTCAACCTCAAATGAGTATCTGGTGCGGTGTGTAAAAATATCGCCACTGGGGAGACAAAGGTGGTAGGGTGTGGTGCTGGCCACCCACCACCTCGTGTGCCATGCCGGCCTTTATAGATGCTCGCTTACAGCACTTGCCCCAACAGTCTGTTCAGGCTGTATGCAGGATCTTTGTCTATGTGGTATGTGTGTGAGCGAGTGAGTATGCGCGCCTTCGACACTTCACGTGGCTTCAAAGTTCACCTAGCATGGCACAAGCCCCGTCGTTACGTCACCGCCACTTAGTGGCGAACAGCAGTTGTTGTTATGTGGTGTATGGTAGGGAGTGGTCGTGTAGCGGTTAACGCCCTGCGCTACAAACCCAACAGAGACCCAAGTTCGATTCTTGCTCACACATGACACCAGTAACAATTGTCTGAACCAGTCCTGGGTCTCCCCCTCGGTCGACTTAGTCTTAATTGAGTACCTGGTGCAGTGTGTAAATATCGGCACTTGGGAGACAAAGGTGGCTAGGTGTGGTGCTGCCCCCCCCCCCCCCCTCCTCGTGTAACGTACCGGCCTTCATAGGTGCTCGTTAAAAACCACTTGCCAAAAAAGTATGATAAGGCTTTATGGGGGATCTTTGTTTTTGTTTGCGTGGTATATGAGTGAGTAGTGTGAATGCATATGTGTGTATGTATGAGTGTGAGTGGGTATGTTCGTATGAGAGTGAGTGTTTGTGTATATCTGTATGAAAGTGTTTATGTATGTATGAGTGTGAGTGGCATGTGTATGTATGAGATTGAGTGTGTGTCTGTATGTATGTGTTGTATGTGTGAGTTTGTATGTATATATGTGTGTATGTATATATGTGTGTGTATGTGTATATATGAGTGTGTGTGTGTGCCGCATGCTTCCTGGCACAGGGGGCTAATGGAGCCAAACCGAGTTTCCGTGGCCGTGCCGAGGGGGGCGGCTCTGAGCGAGCTCACATCCGTCTGCGTTAGGGCACGGGTTCCCAGTCCCCTAGGCTCCACACTGAGCCGTGTGTGCGTGCGTGCAGGTGCTCAGGTGTATGTGTGTACTTGTGCTGTCTGTGTGCAGCGGTAGTGTAGCGGTTAACGCAGCTGTGCAATGAACCCGGCTATGACCCGAGGTCGATGCCTCACTCGCAGCCAACACAAATGACGATTATCTGAACCCGTCCTGGGCTTCCCCTAGGTCGGCTCAGCCTCAAATGTATACTGGTGCAGTGTGTAAAAACATCTCCACTGGGGAGACAAAGGCGGTCGGGTGTGGTGCTGGCCACACAACCCCTTGTAGGTGCACTGTTCCGGCCTTTGTGGGCGCTCCTCCCGAAGAGCAATTGACCCAGCAGCCTGTGTGGGCTGTACATAGGACCTTTGTCTTTGCGGGTGTCTGCACATGTGTCTGTGTGCCTGCTTGGCGGCTTCAAGGTGCACCTAGCTTGGCTCAAGTGCTGTGGCGAACTCACCGCCACTTTGTGTCGAACGCTGTTTGTTGTTGCATGTGTGTGTTTGCACGTGCGCGTGTTTCCGTGTACCTGTATGTGTGTGTGATAGCCTATTGTGTAGTATGGGGAGCGGTAGTGCAGTGGTGAGCACGCTGGGCTACGAACCTGGCAACCCGAGTTTGAGTCCCGCTCACGGCCAACACCAGGGACAATTATCTGAACCGGTTCTCGGACTCCCCTAGGTCGACTCAGCCTCGAATGAGTACCTTTTGCTGTGTGTAAACATCGCCACTGGGGAGACAAAGGTGGTCGGGCGTCGTCCTGGCCACCCACCCCCTCGTGTGCTATTCCGGTCTTTGCAGGTGCTCGCTAACAGCACTTGCCCCAACAGTCTGTGAAGACTACACGGGGGATCATTGTCTTCATCTGTGTTGTGTAGCAGCAGACACGGGGCGTGGGTGGAGAGTGAATTGTTCTCTATTAAAATCTCATCACGCCGGATCGAATCCACAACGAACACAGCAGCAAAACTTAGTGCCGTAACGCACGGCACTAAGTAATCATTAGTGTCGGTTGTGGAGAATGTAAGTGGCCGGATAAATAATGTAGACAGCACGAAGGCAATACGCCACCTCCTTGCCTGTATCCCTCTCTCTCCTTAACACGTAAAATCAAAACAATTTCTTTTCACACATCCCATCAGCCACACGGCCCTTCAGGGAGTGCATAATTCCGGTGTATAGCATTGGGTCCGTTCAACACGAGCAAAAACTTATTGACAGAGAGAGGGGGGGGGGGGGGGGGGGTCCTTGCCAATGATCGTCCGGCCGCTTGGGCTGCCCAGGCCGGTGAATAATTATGCTTCAGTTGCTTTGGTTGTTGGAAGATTTACATGGCTCTCCTCTGTTAATGCAATTTGTTCGTCTTGTGTTGATACCGAAAATGATTTCAACATCAATCCTCGCTCCCAAATACCATTTGGGAGACCAGCCCAAGAATGCGCACCGTGCGTGTTCTGGGTCTGCCTCCCCCCCCTCCTCCTCCTCGTCCCACCTCCACACACCCAGGTCCTGCGTTTAGAGTCGAGGGAGATAGTGGGGGAGAGCAGCCGCTGTCCGATGATGATAATGATGACCTCCGATCCTCACCGCGTGACTCCAGCGCGCACCCCAGTCTCTGTAACCCCCCAGTCTCTGTATCCCCCCGGCCTCTGTAACCCTCCGGTATTGGAGTCTGGCTCGGCCCGGCTGGGAGACTGATGGAGGTGCCCAGTTGGCGTGCCGTGGTAGTGAGATGTTAACTCTCTCACCTGGTATGCGGGAGGTCGTGGGTTCGATCCCGACCCTGACGGCTTTTGATTTGGGGTGTCTCTTTCCCCGCAGTCGCGTGGATTTTTCTCCGGGTCCTCCGGTTTTTCCCTCCACTTAGAATCAATGTCACGCGTTTTGAGTATTTGGCTGCTTTAAATTTCTATGTAATGATAAGCCACATCGTTGAGCTATCATTTGTGACCAGGTCGCTTTTGAAAAAGAGCTATATAGCTCAGTGGGCCTTACCTGGTATAATAAATAGTAGTTTAGTTTAGTTCACCATTTGCGACGATTTAGAGCGATGCTGCTACCACCCCACTGCTCGGAGCCATGAGCATGGACATCCAGCCCCAACGGTGTCGCCCGACCCCTTCCCGCACTAGCGTGAGTGCAGTGTGCGTTTGTGGGGGGTCGTAAACCATCCCAGCCGCTCCACGTGGGTGAAGTGTGCGCTGACCCTCCTCCTCTAGGGCTCTCCGCTGGGAGGAGGAGGGTCCGTCTCACCGCATCAGGATGCTAGAGTTGCGGTGATGTCTTGGTGACGTCTTGGTGATGTCCCGGTGATGTCTCGGCGACCGCGGGGCTCGGCCACTGATGTTGAAACGATCGATTCTCCCGCTCGTAATTTGAGCTATCGTCAATGGTGAACGAATATCTAAACCGATCATCGGCCTCTCCCTCTGTTGGCTCAGCCTCAAATGAGTACCTGGTGCAGTGCGTATAATAATAATAATGTACACTTCTATAGCGCTTTTCACCCGGAGCTCACAAGGCGCTAGACTATACACATGCACACAGGCTTACACCAATAATATCTAACCAGGCCACACCACCCCCTCATGCGTCGTGCCAGGCTTCATAGATGCTGTTCGCTAACAGCACTTGCCCCAACTGTCTGTTAAGGTTAAATGGGGATTTTTTGTCTTTGTGTGCGTGTGCAGCTGAAGTCGGATGAGCTTGCGGAGCTGAAGCAGGTGTCACAGCAGCAAGCCGCCATGCTGCAACAAGCGATCCCACAGGCACAGTTCATGCTGTCTGGAAACCAGATTACAGGGGTAACACACACACATTCACACACACATTCACACACATCCACACACATCCACACACACATTCACACACACATTCACACACACATTCACACACATACACATTCACACAGTCCACTCAGCTCCACGTCCTCCTGTACCACATCACTCCATCTCTTCTCTAGCCCGTGCCATGCCCGTTTAGCCCCCTCGATCCGGCCGAACAAAAGCTGTTTCGGCATGCGGTGGCTGGGCATGCGGGGTACATGACCCAGCCAACGCAGCCTTGCCTACCGGAGGAGCTCACCGATGGGACCTTGTCCAGATCTTTCAAGGATTTGTGAGCTCCTCACACAATCCAGCCTGGTTAAACCCAGGATGGATCGTAGGCAGGCTAGCCTAAATGTTTCTAACCGGCGAAGATGTTCCATTAGGGGGGTCCACTTTTCGCAAGCGTAGAGAAGGGAGGGAATGACCGTGGCCGAGAAGACCTGAAGCTTAGTGCGGAGCGACAGACCAGGTAGCTTCCACACAGCGTTACGCAACCGATGAAAAGATATTGCCGCTCGACTGATTCGGAGTAAGATCTCTGCTGTTAAACTGGAACCGTTCATAAGCACACTGCCCAGGTATGGGAAACTCTCCACTCTCTCCACAACTGCCCCATCACCGATTGGGAGTTGTGGGGGTGGAGAGTCCGATGGTACAAAATACGCAGGCAGGTGCTTAGTTTTGGTGGGGCTGATGGTAAGGCCCCATCTCTTAGTGGCACGCTCCAGTCTCAGCAGCAGCATCTCCAACTCCTCCTCCACATTCACACACACATACATACACACATTCACACACACACATTCACACACATACACACACACGGGGATCTTTGTCTTTGTGGTCCTGGCCACCCACCTCCTTGTGTGCCACAGTTTCGGTTCATAGGCGCTCGCTAACAGCACCTGCCCGAACAGTCTGTTTAAGGCTTTATGGGGGATCTCTGTCTTTCGTGTGTGTGTGTGCAGCTTGCCCTGCTGCAGCAGGCCCAGGCACAGCTGATAGCAGCGGCTGTGCAACAGTCGGCCAATCAGCAGCCGGTGTCGTCGTCGGCTTCCATGGGCACGGCAAGCAGCGCCGCAAGCGCCCTCGCGTCGCTACCTCTCACCCAGTCCATACAGCTGCAGGTGCGGCCGCACGGCCACGGGCAACGGCCAGGAGGCCACCGTGCACTCGGGCCTAGTGCTAGTCACTAGTTGGTTAGGGATGGGGCAGGTCTAGTGCTCGTCACTAGTTGATTAGGGATGGGGTAGGCCTAGTGCTAGTCACTAGTTGATTAGGGATGAGGCAGACCTAGTGCTAGTCACTAGTTGATTAGGGATGGTGCAGGCCTAGTGCTTGTCACTAGTTCATTAGGGATGAGGCAGGCCTTGTGCTGGTCACTAGTTGATTAGGGATGGGGGAGGCCTAGTGCTAGTCACTTGTTGATTAGGGATGGGGCAGGCCTAGTGCTAGTCACTAGTTGATTAGAGATGTGGTAGGCCTAGTGCTAGTCAATAGTTAATTCGGGATGGGGCAGGCCTAGTGCTAGTCACTAGTTGATTAGGGATGGGGCAGGCCTAGTGCTAGTCACTAGTTGATTAGGGATGGGGCAGGCCTAGTGCTAGTCACTAGTTGATTAGGGATGGGGTAGGCCTAGTGCTCGTCACTAGTTGATTAGGGATGGGGTAGGCCTAGTGCTAGTCACTAGTTGATTAGGGATGTGGTAAGCCTAGTGCTAGTCACTAGTTGATTAGGGATGGGGCAGGCCTAGTGCTCATCACTAGTTGATTAGGGATGGGACAGGCCTAGTGTTAGTCACTAGTTGATTAGGGATGGGGCAGGCCTAGTGCTAGTCACTAGTTGATTAGGGATGGGGTAGGCCTAGTGCTCGTCACTAGTTGATTAGGGATGGGGTAGGCCTAGTGCTAGTCACTAGTTGATTAGGGATGTGGTAGGCCTAGTGCTAGTCATTAGTTGATTAGGGATGGGGCAGGCCTAGTGCTCGTCACTAGTTGATTAGGGATGGGACAGGCCTAGTGTTAGTCACTAGTTGATTAGGGATGGGGCAGGCCTAGTGCTAGTCACTAGTTGATTAGGGATGGGGTAGGCCTAGTGCTCGTCACTAGTTGATTAGGGATGGGGTAGGCCTAGTGCTAGTCACTAGTTGATTAGGGATGTGGTAGGCCTAGTGCTAGTCATTAGTTGATTAGGGATGGGGCAGGCCTAGTGCTCATCACTAGGTGATTAGGGATGGGACAGGCCTAGTGTTAGTCACTAGTTGATTAGGGATGGGGCAGGCCTAGTGCTAGTCACTAGTTGATTAGGGATGGGGTAGGCCTAGTGCTAGTCACTAGTTGATTAGGGATGTGGTAGGCCTAGTGCGAGTCACTAGTTCATTAGGGATGGGGCAGGCCTAGTGCTCGTCACTAGTTGATTAGGGATGGGACAGGCCTAGTGCTAGTCACTAGTTGATTAGGGATGGGGTAGGCCTAGTGCTAGTCACTTGTTGATTAGGGATGGGGCAGGCCTAGTGCTAGTCACTAGTTGATTAGGGATGGGGTAGGCCTAGTGCTAGTCACTAGTTGATTAGAGATGGGGTAGGCCTAGTGCCTGTCACTAGTTGATTAGGGATGGGACAGGCCTAGCGCTATTCACTAGTTGATTAGGGATGGGGCAGGCCTAGTGCTAGTCATTAGATGATTAGGGATGGGGGAGGCCTATTGCTTGTCACTAGTTCATTAGGGATAGGGTAGGCTTAGTGCTAGTCACTAGTTGATTAGGGATGGGGCAGGCCTAGTGCTAGTCACTAGTTGATTAGGAATAGGGTAGGCCTAGTGCTAGTCACTAGTTGATTAGGGATGGGGTAAGCTTAGTGCTAGTCACGTAATGATTAGGGATGGGGCAGGCTTCGTACTAGTTACTAGTTTATTTGGGATAGAGTAGGCCTAGTTGGTTATGGTTGTGGCAGGCCTAGTATGAGTCACTATTTAGGTGACAGTCATTCATTTACACAATTAGCAAGTCATTCTCTTAATGCAATTCATTTTTTTTTTTACAAAAGGAGAATTCAGTGTGAAGGTTTTCTGTCCCATTCGTCCAGGTCCCACTTGTGCTGGATTTGGAAGGTGCCATTTTTTCCCCATGTGCTGGAAAGCACAACGTCAGGCAGTCTGTCAGGTGACCTCCGTCTCCAGTCGGATTGGAAGTTGCTGTCCCCGTTGCCCACTATGGGGCGGCTTGAATCAGAATTGTTCCGATTTTTGGAGGGGGCAGGGTGGGGATGGGGGGTGTGTTTGCGAGGGGGTTAGTGAGATTTTTCAATTGTAAATGCTGCGGCATCGATTTCCAGTCACGCTTTTCCAGCAATGATTGCCCTGGAATTGACCTCTGGATCGTGGCCCAAAATATCATGTGCTGAGAACAAGGGACATTTCCCGAAATGTGCTTTTCATTTTTCCAGCCACACTCACTCACACAAGCGCGGTGTGAGTATTGACGAAAAGTGTCCTGTTGTTATTTGTGCTCATGCACACCACTTCTAAACTATATTTTGTTAGTTTTATTCTGCTTGTTTACACCAAGAAAGCCGCACCGAGTCTCAGGGCACTTTTTAAGTGAGGGTCCTGCCAAGTTTTGGCAGGAGGGGGCGATGTTGCACTTCTTTCATACCGAACGTAGCCAACCGTGCTAATTGGAGGTGAGGGGGGGAAGGGCAATTGAGATCTATCACGCAGCAAAAGCTGCGTGATAATATCAATTGAGTGGTTGTCAGATAATGTGTCAACATTGGGGATGTTTTAGTTTATTTAGCTGCAGTTGCCGTCTGCCGGACTATACAAGGATTGTCTCTGTTCGGGCCCCAGGCTCATGACCTAGTGTGTGGTGTTGCGCTGGGGAAGCAGTGGCACAGTCGTTAGCGCTGCACTGCGTTACGAACCTGGATACCCGAGTTCGATTCCCGCTCACAGGCAACAGCAGTGAAGGATATCGGAACCAGTCCTAGGCCTCTCCTATGTTTTTTCGCTCCACATTTAGAATAAACGTGCATTCAGAGTTTGACTGCTATACATTTCCACATGAGAAGCCACTTCGTTGAGCTATCATTTGTGGCCAGGTTGCTTCTGAAAAAGAGCTAAATAGCTCATTGGGCCTTACCTGGTAAAATATCAGTAGTTTAGTTTGTTTTTATATTAACTCTGACTTTAAAGAGTATTTGGTGCAGTATCTAATTATTAGCCATGTCGGAGACAAAGGTGGCCAGGCTTGGTGCTGGCCACCCACCCCCTCATTGTGTGCCGTGCCAGCCTTCATAGGTGCTCGCTAACAGCACTTGCCCCAACAGTCTGTTAAGGCTACACGGGGGATGTTTGTCTTTGTGTTCACCTAAGCAGTGTGATTCTGACCAGTTCCGGTTTGACAGAAGAGGTCTCACTCCGTTTTAGTCGACCAGCATTATCTTCTCATCAGCTGTGTACGCTGTGTGTCTTTGTGTGCGAGTGTAGGACTTGCAGCAGCTACAACCCCAGAGCCTGGGCCTGCAGCAGTTTGTGCTGGTGCAGCCGGGCTCAGCGCTGCCCACTGGTCTGCTGCTGTCCCAGTCACAGCAACAGGGTATGGCATACGTACATACACACACACACGCATACACACACACACGCATACACACACACTCATACAACAACAGCAACAACAACCGCCATTCGCCACTAAGTGGCGGTGACGTCACCACGACGCTTGTGCCAGGCAATGTGCACCTTGAGGCCATGTGAAGTGTCGAACGCCCGCAGGCAGGAGGTCACGGGGCAGACCCAGGTGCCACGGGTCGACTGACTGACACTTATACACAAGCATACACACACGTGCGCATACACACACGCACATACACACACGCGCATATACACATACATGCATACACACACACCACACACACAACACACCTGCAAACACACTCTCATGCACACAACACACCTGCATACACACTCTCACATGCACACAACACCACAACACTCACACAGACTCGGTGACTGGTGTGTCTGGGGTTGTTATACTGCATGTGTACGTTTGTGTGTGTTTGTGCGTGTTGTTAGTGTGTGCGTTAGTTGTGCGCCCTCCCCAGGGCATAGCGCCCTGCCCTTCCACCCCGGGGACGCAAGTAAAATTCCTGCTCGTGGCCAATAACAGTGGCAGCCTTCACCTGAACCGTTCTTGGGCCTTCCCTAGGTTGATTTAACCTTAAATGAGTACCCTTGTGCGGTGTACACACACCACAAGCTCTGAGCCGGCATCCTTGGGGAATGGAGGGTGCCGGTTAAACAAATATGCCGGTTATCTGAGAGTTATACTTTTGGATTCACCAAATTTGCCAAGTACACAATAATTTTCAAGAAAGAAACTAAGCCTACATTTTAACTGTGATCTAAGAAATAATATACTTTTTTTACAGAGGTCCCCGCCAATCAGTTGTCGAGGATTCTTTAAGTTGATTGTAGAGAATTAGTGGTGCAGTTTCTAGTACAGTGTACGGTAGTGCAGTACAGTACACAGTGGTGCTCTATGTGCAGACTGCCGCTAGCGCCAACACTCGGTAGTGTCCTGAAGCTGCCGTAAACAACAACGGCTCTACGAGAAGCGCACAGCAAGATGCCGGATGGCTTTTGGAACTTTTCCGTAGTGCAGTACAGTACACAGTGGTGCTCTATGTGCAGACTGCCGCTAGCGCCAACACTCGGTAGTGTCCTGAAGCTGCCGTAAACAACAACGGCTCTACGAGAAGCGCACAGCAAGATGCCGGATGGCTTTTGGAACTTTTCCGGATACGTGAAGGAAGATTTGTATTGCCATCTATGACAAATGCTGGTTAATAGGGTATTCCGGATGGTAAAGTGCCGGATAGCAGAGCTGTTTCTGTAAAACATCAGCACTGGGGAGACATAGGCGGATGGACGTGGTGCTGGCCATCCATCCCCTCGTGTGCCGTGTCAGCCTTTATCGGGTGCTCGGTATCAACACTTGCCCCACCAGTATGGTAAGGCTATACATGGGATCTTTGTCTCTGTGTGCATGGGCAGGACTCCAACAGATTCAAAGTCTTCATCTACCTCAGCAATCTCAAACCAACAACATGCAACCTCAGGGCACCATCACGCTCACACAGGTACGCACGCCCGCACACGCACACGCATGCTCGTACACACACGTGTGTGTGGCACCAGAATACAGCGACGCTCATTCATGCGCACACACACACAGCAACACGACCAAGTGGCGATGACGTAACGACAGCGTTTGTGCCAAACTAGATGCACTTTCAGGCTGTCCCGTAATGTGTGGAAGGCTCTCTGATGGCAACACGTCAACGGATAGTGGCAGGTGATATGTATGTATGTTGAACTTCTGTTTGCACCAATCAAAGCATTGCACCTCGCTCCACACACCCGCACTGCTGACGGTGGAGGTTGACAAGAAAACACAAATCAAGTCATGACCCAAAGTGGTTGATGACATCTTTACAATGATTGCTGAGTTTAAAACTGTCGTCTCGGTTGAAATTGTGTCTGTTTCTGTATACATGGATGGCTTCTTAAACGAATCTTTATTGATAGCCAGTCGGCTTGCAAAGTACCATCGTCTTCGAGAAATCAATTTCATGTGAGCCAGCCGCATTAAGATAATGATCAGCCATGGCAGAAGTATTGGCCCTGCCGTGTTTCAGATCTGCCTTATGTTTATGAAAACGGTCCGAGACATGTCATTTGGTTTCCCCAATGTAACTGCTGCCGCAGATACAGCTTAGTTTGTAGACGCCGGGATATTGCATGTCAGGAATCTTGTCCTTCACAGATGGGATCAGGTAACAAATGTTATGCACTGTGTTAAATCGGACCTAGATCTTGTGTTTGTTCAAGATTTTGGAAATCTTTTTGGTTATCCCTGCCATGTATGGTAAGGTGATGGTTTTGATTGGATCTTCAGATGGCTCCTTCCTCCTAACGCACGTTTTAAGTCAAAATATAAGCTACTCCGTTAAGCTATCATTTGTGGCCAGGTCACTTCTGAAAAATAGCTATATAGCTCAGTGGGCCTTACTTGGTAAAATAAAAAAATGTTTAGTTTAAGTACTTGATGCGGTGTGTAAACATCAACACTGAGGAGACAAAGGTGGTCCAGCGTGGAACTAGCCATCCACCTCCTCACGCGTCGTACCGGCCTTAATAGGTGCTCGCTAACAGCACTTGCCCCAGCAGCTTGTGTAGACTGTAGTGGGGATCTTTGTCACTGTGTGGACTGTGACTCCACCACCCGGGCAGATGGCAGGAGTGGGCGAGCGGGGTCCTCACATTGGGGAAGTGACGCATGGTGACACACGCAGTCACGCCCGCATGCACACACGCTCGTGTACGCACACAGCCACGCACACACACACGCTCGTGTACGCACGCAGCCACGCATACACGCTTGTGTATGCACGCAGTCACCCACACATGCTCGTGTACGCACGCTCACGTGCATGCACAGCCACCCACACATGCTCGTGTAAGCACGCTCGCGTGCACACGCAGCCACGAACACACGCTCGTGAACACGCTCATGCATTCACACACGGGAACGCGTGGCAGCGCCGCCGCGATGGCCCATGTCGCGCGCGCGATTCACTGCTTGGAAACGTGGGGCCTCCCCACCATGCCACAGGCTGCAGTGAGTTCCTTCTGCATTATCGCCATCATCGTTGTCTTTATCATCATCGTTATCAGCATTATCATCAAAATAGTTGTTATCATCATTGCCATAATCAACGTCATTGTCATCCTCGTTATTATTGTCATCATCACCATCATTGATATAATTGTCATCATGAATTGTAATCATCGCTGTCATCATCTTTATCATCATTTTCATCGTCGTCTTCGTAATCATTATCATCACTGTCATCATCATCATCGTTGCTCTCATCGTAACATCGCTATCATTGTAACCGTCATCATTGTCATTCTCATCATCATTGTCATTCTTTTCATCGTTACCATCATCGTCATAATCAATATCGTTATCACTATCATCGTAATCGCCATTATCAATATCATTGTCATCATAATTATGATTATCATCGTTATCACCACAATCACCGTTAGCTCAAAGTGTCTCCTGCAGCCTTCTTCATATGCGGGTCTGCCTCTGTGCATCCGGGTGTTGCAATTCCACATTCCCATGGCAGCAGGTCTGGATGTATTCGTTGGCATACGGTGGCATCCATGCTCCCTGACCCACCGGAGCAGAGGCGACGAGCCGAGTTGAGCTTCGCGGGCCGCAGGCTGGGTGCAGGTGTCACTCGAGTATTCGGAGTATTCGTCAGTGCGATGAACATGCTGGAGCAGCATGTTGTCAACAGGGCCCAGGGAGTCAATCGCCCGTCGGCTCACTCGCCTGTCGGTTTGCTCACCGGGGTCACCCGTGAGTCCTCTCGCCGGGGTCGCCCGTGGGTCCGCTCGCCCCACCGGCTGTGACGCCCTCCCCATGACGAGTTGCGCTGCGCGTCCCAAGGCTCCTGGCCAGGGATCGTTCCATGCCGAGGCGTGCCGGTGTCTTGAGCAAGATAGAGCGTCATTTGGATTTTATTCGAGGGGTGGCGGTATGGTACGCGGTGCGGGCAGGGCGGCAGTGGCGGTGCTGCAGGGGGCATGCTTGCGCCTTCTCACGGCGGGAAGGGACATGGGTTCGATTCCCGTCCCCGGGCACCTTTCTGTGTGGAGTTTGTCCATTCTCGCCCCGTTGCCCATGGGTTTCCTGGGGGTTCTCTGGATTTCTCCAATAGCTAAGACCGTTGGGGCAAGTGCTGTTCATGGGTATCACCTATGAAGACTGGCACGGCTCACGAAGGGGTGGATGGCCACCACCATGCCCTTTGTCTCCCCAGTGGCGATGTTTTTATAAACTGCACCAGGCACTCACTTGAGACTGAGTCGACCTCGGGGAGGCTCAGGACTGGTTCAGATAACAGTGTGACAATTTGTTGAATTTTTTTTGGTTCCTGGGTAGTAAGTGTTATTTCCTAATTGCTTATGTCTCAAAAGTAAAGAAAATGGCAATTATTCCCCACAAACTTTGCTTTTGTGACCAGGACAGTGCTGAGTAAACTTGGAGTAACTTCTAGAACATTCTAGAACTTTCCAGTCATATAAGTATTAGTATAAATACAGGGGCCTGAAGCCCACCAGTTCAGTTTAGTTCCACCTGCCGAAGTGGATACATATCTGCATTTTTCTGAGATGGCATCAAGAGGCTGCAAGCATCCGGCAGACGCATTTTGCGACATCTGCGGCAAATTTATCAAGACAAGAGCGAAACAGTACCCTGTGAAAGTATCTGCTAAGATGTGTGAGGCCTACAAGGAATATTTCGGCATGCCTGTCAGGGATCAAGACAAACCCTGGACACCTCATTTCACCTGCGAGTAATGCAAAAAAAAACTCTTTTGCTCAGAATTTTATGTTATAATATTTGTTAAATATTTTAAAATTGTAAAAGTTTATAATTTTTTTAATGTTTTACAATTTTTTATGTTATTGAAAAAATATATATTTTAAAAATGTTACGAGAATCTCTTACACATTGGTCATGGGTGAAGTAAATTTATTTTTGTAGGATCGTACAGAGGGGAAAAGAGCGTCATGAAGTTCGCTATCCCAAGAATTTGGCAGGAACCCACTGACCACTCAAGCAACTGCTACTTCTGCATGGTGGACCCTTCCAAACGTCGGACTGGCAGAAATGCACCTGCTATCACGTACTCGGACCTTCCTTCATCCATCGCCCCGGTGCCTCACTGCCATGAGCTCCCCGTACCCACTCCTCTGGAGAGAGAGCAGCCATCTTTAGAAGAGAGCAGCAAGTCAGAGAGCAAGGAAGACGTTGTAGATTCAGATGAGAATCTCAGAGGAGAGAAACCCATACTACCCCAACCAAAAAGACCTCAGCGACTTGACTCGAGATCTTGGTCTCACCAAGTCCAATGCCGAGCTTTTGACGTCTAGGCTCAAGCAGTGGAACTTGTTCGATGAAAGTTTGCAAGTTGCAGATCAGAGGAAGTGTCACCAGCCTTTTTGCAGCTTCTTCACCTGTCAAGATGAGCTCTGTTTCTGCCACAATGTGACCAGTCTGTTCGAGGCAATGGGAATTGTCTGTAACCAGAATGAGTGTCGCCTCTTCATTGACAGCTCATCCAGGAGTCTCAAAGCCATGCTGCTCCATAATGGTAACAAGTACCCGTCTCTTCCCCTGGCTCACTCAGTGCACCTCAAAGAGGATTACAACAGCATCAAGACCTTGCTGGATGCCTTGAAGTATGATGAGTACGGCTGGGAGGTCATCGGAGACTTCAAAATGGTGGCATTCCTGATGAGTCTTCAAGGCGGTTTTACCAAGTTTCCCTGCTATCTTTGCCTTTGGGACAGCAAGGACACCAAGGCGCACTACCACAGGTGGGACTGGCCACAGCGGACCGAGTTCTCTGTGGGGAGGAACAACGTCAAGTGGGAGCCACTGGTGGACCCCCGGAAGGTACTGATACCACCACTGCACATCAAATTGGGCCTTATGAAACAATTTGTCAGAGCTGTAGATAAAGAGGCAGCAGCCTTCAAGTACCTTCAAGACTTCTTCCCTAAGCTGTCTGAGGCAAAGGTCAAAGCCGGTGTTTTCAGATAAAGAAGATTCTGGAGTGCATTGAATTCCCCAAGAAGCTCACTAGTAAGAAGAAAACGGCTTGGAACAGCTTTGTGGCAATGGTTCGTGGCTTCCTGGGCAATCACAAGGTCGAAAACTCTGTGGAGCTGGTTGAGACTGGTGAAGAACTACGGCATAATAGGCTGTAGGATGTCCCTCAAAGTCTCTATCCTTGATGCTCATCTTGATAAATTCAAGGAGAACATGGGAGCGTACTCGGAGGAGCAAGGCGAGCGCTTCCACCAGGATATACTGGACTTTGAACGCCGCTACCAAGGACAGTATAACGAGAACATGATGGGAGACTACATTTGGGGGCTGATTCGTGAAAGTGATTTACAGTTTAATTGTAAATCTCGAAAAACTACTCACTTCTAAATTTTTTGTAGTAAATTTTGTATTATTTTAGTATAAATACATTTTTATTTGTATGTTGGTTTTTTTCTGACTTTATGTGAACGAAAAGACACAAATTCACCCATTTCTCATTGAAAATAGGTCAATTTCAAAATGTCACTGTTCTGACACAAAAGCAAAGTTTGTGGGGAATAATAGCCATTTTCTGTACTTTTGAGGCATAAGCAATTAGGAAATAACACTTACTACCCAGGGACAAAAATTGTGCTCCATAGAGTAATCGTCACCGTTGTTGGCCGTTAGCGGGATTCGAACTCGGGTGGCCGGCTCTGTAGCGAAGCACGCTTACCGCTACACAACTGCTCCCGCTTAAGCTAAACACACAGTGGAACTGCTATTGGCCAAACAAATATCTCAATGTGGGATCACACGCAGCACCAGCAGCGGCAACATCTCCGCCCCCACCCCCCCCACCGACTGCGAAACACTTGGCAGGACCCTCCTTAAAAAGGAGTCTTGAGACTTTGCAAGGCTTCCCTGAGTGAACACGGGCGCCACAGCAACAACAGTAAGACGAGGAATGCCTCTGCCGTTGATGTACGTGACACGTTCTACGAGGCTTACGTGTTGGAGTGGCTTGGGCAGCTTGCCGCAGACCGTAACAAGGCCCTATTTAAATGTCACTTCTGCTTTCTGGCCAGCCGAGGACATTTATAGCAGCGGCGGCAGCAGAAGAAGCTTCCACGCGCTCAGCAATTTAGAGGAAACTTCCATTTCATTTGTGGGAAAGTGCAACAAAGACTAGATCCCCCCGTATAGCCTTAACAGACTGTTGGGGGCAAGTGCTGTTTGCAAGTAGCACCTATGAAGGCCGGCACGGCACACGAGAGGATGGGTGGCCAGCACCACGCATGGCCGCCTTTGTCTCCCTCATGGTGATGTTTACACATCATACCAGGCACTCATTTGAGGCTGAGTCGACCTCGGGAAGGCCCAGGATCACCTTCGATTAGCACGGTTGGCTACATATGTTGCGAAAAAAGTTCAACATACGTACATACGTACAGAGCTGTTTCAGATAATTGTCACTGGTGAGCGGGAATCGAACTCGAGTTGCCGGGTTTGTAGCGCTGCACGCTAACTGCTGCACCACACCCCACACGCACAAAAACTAAACTTTTTATTTTACCAGGTAAGGCCCATTGAGATGTTGAGCTCTTTTTTAGAAGCGACCTGGCCACCGATGATAGCTCAATGAAGAGGCTTATCATCACGTGGAAATTTAAAGCAGCCAAATTATTCAAAACACATGTTGATTATAAATATGGAGGGGAAAACTGGAGGAACCGGGGAAAAATCCACGTGACCACGGGAAGAGGGAGACGCAAACTCCCACATATACAGTAGGCATCAGGGTCAGGATCAATCCCACGATCTCCTGCGTACCGAGCAAGGTAGTTAACATCTCCTAGCCACCGTGGAGCCCCTCACTTAAGCATGGGACTGGCGTCCACGGTGATAACCGCCAGGAGGGGAAGGTGCCGCTGTGTTTTTGCATGCACACTCTGGCCGGTTCGCATGAGGAGGGGTGGGGGGGGGGGGCAACGTCGCTGCTGTTGTTGTGAGCATGATCCCAATTGAATAATCTGCGAATAATTTTTCGAATTTGCAAAAAAGAAATATTCGTGACACCGGCGCATTGTCCCCGTTTTGAAACGATGTCACCGGGATCTCTTCACGTGCGCCGTGAGCGATGGGGACAGCGCGTGGCAGCGGTCCTGGTAGTTGTTCACGGTTGACGCACGGTAATCGTGGTTATTAACCGGGGGGAAGGGGCAGCCTGCCGGGTTTCAAACCTTGAGCCTCTGCACTGAGCGGGGACACGGCTCTAACTGCGGGGCCGCCGCACCGCCACCCCACTAACCCACCCCCGAAGAGAAAGCAGAACTGCCATGGAGGACGACTTGGGGACATTTGGCAGAAGACGTTGGCTTTGCTGGAACAAAAGGGGAGAAGGGGAAGTAGAATGAGATGAGAACGGAGACACGGCTTGTTCCTATTTTACTTGAGCGCGAAAGACTTTCTTTTCAGGAGGTGTCCTGCCAAGTTTTGCGCAGGTCGGAGAAGGGGGCAATGTCACTGATGCTGCTGCTGTCGTGTGTGATCCCACGTTGAGTGGTCTTGTAGGTCGTGTTTCAGCATAGGGATGTTTTGGCCAATACAAGTTACACTGTGCGTGTGTGGTTTGTTTTAACAATGAGAGGAAAACGCTAGAAGCCCGGAGGAAACGCATGCAAAAAATGGGGAGAACGTACAAACTCCGCACACTCACTCGCACTCTGCAGAACAAGGGGAGAACTCCACGCAGAAAGGTGCCCGAGTCTGGAATCGAACCCAGGCCCCTTCTGACTGTGAGGAGGCACAAGCATCACCAGCGCAGCGCCACCGCTGCCACCCTGCCGCCCGAATTGTAGACCGTCGAGGTCTCCATGCCTCTGTTGACCGTGTCTCCTCGTGTCTCCCTGCATCCCCGCGTCTCCCGCAGGGATCGTCCGTCCAGGGCGTGGGGGGCCGGGGGGCCCTTGGGGCGGTTCGCGTTCCCCCGCACCACGGGCCCCCTGCACACCAGGCCGGCGGGGGGCCCCCCAAGCGGAGCGGGGCGGAGGGGGGTGGCTCGGTGCCGATGGAGGAGCCCAGCGACCTGGAGGAGCTAGAGCAGTTTGCCAAAATGTTCAAGCAGCGGCGCATAAAGCTGGGCTTCACACAGGTATACTGGGACACGGCGGTACGGGATACGAGGACACTGGGACATGGGGATACGGGGACACGAAGGCATGGGGACACAGAGACACGGGGACATGGGACATGGGGACACGGGGGCACGGGACACGTGGGCACGTGGAGTGTGGGTGTAGAGAGTATGCTGACCACTGGGCATGTTGTGCTGCCCGCGCAGGGTGACGTGGGCATGGCGATGGGCAAGTTCTACGGAAACGACTTCAGCCAGACGACCATCTCTCGCTTCGAGGCCCTCAACCTGAGCTTCAAGAACATGTGCAAGCTTAAGCCACTGCTCGAGAAGTGGCTAAATGATGCAGGTGAGGGTACGCGCGTGTGTGGTGTGTCTGTGTGTGTGGCGAGGAGGCGAGGAGTGGTGGTCGTGGTTACTTATGCCCCCACCGATACGAACATCTGTGGAGGGATGTAGGCAAGGCCGATGAGTCAGATGCCTTCTATGACCTCCTGTCACAGGTGCTGGCTAAAGTGGCCCCTCGGGATAGAATCATCTTGTTGGGTGACTTCAATGCCCGAGTTGGTCATGATGCTGGCACCTGGTCTGGAGGCTGCTAGATTTTCGTGCAGCCTATGGGCTTGTAATTACCAACATGCTGTTCCGGCATCGGCGCATCCACACAACATCATGGATGCATGCCAGGTCCAAGCAAGAACATCTGCTGGACTACATAGTGACGGAACAGCGGATGCGAGCCCATGTCCTTGACACCAGGACCTACCGTGGAGCCGACTTGTCATCTGTAAGATGCGCCTGCCATTCTTCCACTCTGGTGGTGGGTGTACACCCAGGACCCCATTCCAACCTAAGGTGGCCTGGCCTCAGCTAGCTGATGAAAGTTGCAAGCGGGAATTTCATCAACGCTTGCGGCTGGGGTTGGCATCGTCCCCCACTCCTCCTGATGTCAAGGGTAAATGGGCGAGGTTTAGGACTGTGACTCATGCAGCTGCAATGGCTGCTTTGGGTATGCGGTCCAGACCTCCCCAGAGACCCTGGCTGACAGAGGACGTGTTCAGGATGGCTGAGAAAAAGCGACAGGCCAACTCTAATCGTCTACAGCATCCCACGTCAGAGAATGAGGATTACCGCAGCCTTCGCTCGGAGGTTCGGAGAGCCTTGAGGTGCTGCAAGGATGGGTGGTGGTTGCGGGTTGCTGAGGAGATGGAGTCTGCCTCAATGGCCCGTGATCACAAATCCTTATTTAATTCCATCACAAAAGTAACCTGCAGCGCCACACCTCTTAACATCATGAGGGGAAAAAAACGGTGATCCCAATCTCCGACCCCCAGGAACAGGTTTGCAGATTTGCTGAGCATTTCTGTGAAGTCCTGGGGGAGGGGAAATCCCTCGACATGGAAAACATCGTGGGACAAAGTGGGGATGACCCTCCTGAGGCTGCGGTGCTTCAAATATTTGAAGAAGTCACCCCCTGTGAGTGGCTGGCTGAGGTACCATCTGTTGAGGAAGTACTAAAGGCGATCCAGAGTCTTGAGACCAGGAAAGGCACTGGGCAGAGATGATCTCCCAAGCGAAATGCTGAGGGAGGGTGGCGTTTGTGCACAGGCTGCCCTACATGACATCATAACAACAGTCTGGACCACTGGACGGGTTCTGCAGGATTGGAATAATGCCCTTGTGGTCCCCCTCTTTAAGAAGGGGGACCGCACGGACTGTAACAACTACAGGGGCATCTCACTCCTCAGTGTGCCGGGAAAGGTCCTGGCAAGGATTATTCAACATCGCCTTGCCAAGCACGCTGAGGAGAGGCTTGCGGAGCCCCAATGTGGTTTCAGGAAAGGGCGGTCCTGCACAGATGCCATATTTTCTGTCCGTTTGCTACAGCAGAGGTGTAGGGAATTCCAACAAGACCTACATCTCTGCTTTATTGACTTTGTCAAGGCCTATGATACCATCAGTATGCCTGGGCTCTGGGTTGTTCTTCGTGCTTTCGGAGTCCCTGACCCTCTGCTCATGATCATTAAGGACCTTCATGATGGTGAGCGGGCCCGGGTAAAACTACGTGGCCGGGAGTCGGAGTCATTCCCTGTTCACCTTGGGGTGCGACAGGGATGTCCTCTGGCTCCCACATTATTTCACATTTTTTTCGACCATGTGGTCCTATTGGTCAACGATGTTATGTATGCCGATGATCTGGTAATTGCCGCTCACTCAGAGGAGGAGTTGGAGGCGCTGCTGCTGAACCTAGAGCGTGCCACTAAGAGGTGGTGCCTTACCATCAGCCCCACCAAACTAAACACCTGCCTGGGTATTTTGTACCATTGAGCAAACCGACCCACACAACTCCCAATCGGTGATGGGGCAGTTGTGGAAAGAGTGGAGAGTTTCCCATACCTGGGCAGTGTGCTCATGACTGGCTCCAGTTTGACAGCAGAGGTCTCACTCAGAATCAGTCAAGCGGCATTATCTTTTCATCGGTTGCGTAACACTGTGTGGAAGCTACCTGGTCTGTCGCTCCGCATGAAGCTTCAAGTCTTCTCGGCCATGATCATTCCATCCCTTCTCTATACTTGCGAAACGTGGACCCCCCCTAATGGAGCATCTTCACAGATTGGAAACATTTAGGCTGGCCTGCCTACGATCCATCCTGGGTTTAAACAGGCTGGATTGTGTGAGGAGCTCACAAATTCTTGAAAGATCTGGGCAAAGTCTCATCGCTGAGCTCCTCCGGCAGGTAAGGCTGCGTTGGCTGGGTCATGTAGCCCGCATGCCCAGTCACCACATGCCTAAACAGCTTTTGTTCGGCCGGATAGAGGGGGCTAAACGGGCGCGGCACGGGCTAGAAAAGAGATGGAGTGACGTGGTACAGGAGGATGTGGAGCTGAGTGGACTTGCCGATGACTTGTACCAGCGGTGTCAAGATCGGCCTCTGTGGAGGAGGCTTGTGAAGGACGCTATTGGGCAGTTGGAGGCAGTCGCCCAACGGAGGGCGGAGGAGCGACGTTCACAACAACGAGTGGCGCGCCGGGTGGCTAAAGCACAGCAAGTTTGCACAGTCGGGAGCACAGGTGGGCAATCAGCCAGTCACCTGGGTCTGCCCCGTGGCCTCCTGCCAACGGGCGTTCGACACTTCACATGGCCTCAACGTGCACATAGCCTGGCACAAGCGTGGTGTTGACGTCACCGCCACTTAGTGGCGAATGACGGTTGTTGTCGTGTATCTGTGTGTGTGGTGTGTCTGTGTATGTGAGTGCGGTGTCTGTATGTGTGATGCATCTACCTGTGTGTGGTGTGTCTGTAATGTGTCTGTGACATGTCTACGTATGACGTGTGTGTGTGACATGTCTACTTGTGGCATGTATGTTTATGTGTGACGTGTATCTGTGATGTGTGTGGGTGTGATGTGTGTTTGTAACATGTATGTGCGTGACGTGTGTCGTGTGTGTGACGTGTGACGTGTGTGGGTGTGTGGGTGTGACGTGTATTTGTAACTTGTATGTGTGTGACATATGTGATGGTGAGTCGTGTGTGATGGTGTGTCGTGTGTGTGTGACGTGTATGTGTGTGTGCAGAGAACATGTCGTGCGACCCCGCTGTGTCGAGTCCCTCGGGGGGCTACGATGGGGGCCAGGGAGGGGGGGCCGGGGGACGCCGCCGCAAGAAGAGGACGAGCATCGAGAACAACATCCGCGGGGCGCTGGAGAAGAGCTTCCTCGAGGTGCGCATGTGTACGTGTGTCTTGTACGCGCGTCTTGTACGCGCGTCTTGTACGCACGTGTGTGTGTGTGTTCACCTATGGGGAGCGGTAGTGCAGTAGTTAGCGCGCTGCGCTTCAAACCCGGCGACCCGAGTTCGAATCCCGTTCACGGCCAACACCAGTGGCGATTGTTTGAACCGGTCCTGGTGCTCCCCAAGGTCGACTCAGCCTCAAATGAGTATCTGGTGTGGTGTTTAAACATCGTCACTGGGGAGACAAAGGCGGCCGGGTGTGGTGGTGACCACCCACCCCCTCGTGTGCCATGCCGACATATTAGGTGTTCGCTAAAAGCACCTGCCCCAACAGTTTATGAAGGCCATACGTGGGATGTTTGTATTTGTGTTCACCTGAGCAGTGTAATTCTGACCAGTTCCGATTTGACAGCAGAGGTCTCATTTCGAATCAGTCGAGCAGCATTCTGATTGGCTGTGTAACGCTGAGTGGAAGCTACCTGGTCAATCACTCCACATGAAGCTTCGGGTCTTGGCCACGGTCATTCCCTCCCTTCTCTATTCTTGCAGAACGTGGACACCCTAATGGAACATTTTTACCGGTTAGAAAGATTTAGGCTGGCCTGCCTACGATCCATGCTGGGTTCAACCAGGATGGATTTTGTGAGGAGCTCACAAAATCCTTGAAAGATATGGATACAGTCCTATTGGTGAGCTCCTCCGGCGGGCGAGGCTGCGTTGGCTGGGTCATGTAGCTCAGCCATGTCCAAACAACTTTTGTTCAATTTTGATTTAAAGCTTTCGTGACTGCAGTAATTCATATTCTTAGCTCTTTCGGTAAAGTCAAGTTGGAGGGAAACAATTATTTTATTGTTTCCCTTCAACGTGACTTTACCGAAAGAGCTAAGAATATAACTTTTGTTCAGCCAGATAGAGGGGGCTAAACGGGCACCACATGGGCTGGAGAAGAGATGGGGTGATGTGGATGTGGAGCTGAGTGGACTTGCCGATGACTGATACCAGCGGTGTCAAGATCGGCCTCTGTGGAGGTTTGTGAAGGATGCTACTGGGCAGTTGGAGGCAGTCGCCCTCCAGCAACGATGGAGGGCAGAGGAGCGACGCTCACAACAATGAGCGGAGCGCCTGGTGGCTCAAATGCACAGAGTTGGCATAGGGGGAGCACAGGTCGTGCATCTGCCAGTCATCTCAGGCAGTCAACCAATGGCACTTGGGTCTCTCCTGTGACCTCCTGCCAGCTACTAGCCTTCGACACGTCACATAGCCTCAGAGTGCATATAGCATGGCACAAGCACCATGGTGACGTTACCGCCACTAAGTGGTGATTTGCATTTGTTGTGGGGAGCGGTAGTGTAGTGCCTAGCTCGCTGCGCTGCAAACCTGGCTACCCGAGTTCGATTCCCGCTCATGACCAATAACAGTGGTGAATATTTGAACTGGTCCCGGGCCTTGCCGAGGTCGATTCAGCCTTAAATGAGAACTAGCGCGATGTATAAACATCGTCACTCGGGAGAAAAAGGTGGCTGGGTGTGGTGCTGGCCACCAACCCCCTTGTCTGCCATGCTTGCCTTCATCGGTGCTCGCTAACAACACTTGCCATCAACGTTTGTTAAGGCTATACGGGGATGTATGTTTGTATGTTGAACTTCTTTTGCACAGTTAGTAGCCAACCATGCTAATCGGAGGTGCAGGGGAAGGACAAGAAACTTAACACAAAAAACAGTTCTAAAGAAAGTTTTCAATTTACATAGCTCTGCTCGCTTCCAAATATCAGAAGGAAGAGAGCATTTAAGACAGCCCCAGAAGCACATCTTAAAGCGCGCGGACATGGTGACCGTCTTTGTTCGATGGCCAGCCAAAAGCCGCTGCTGCGAGGTTGACCAGAGTTTGCATGATAATGGTTTATGCTAGTTGTCATTTTAAGTGTGTTCACCTGTGCGTGCGTTCACCTGTGCGTGCTTTCACGCGTGCGTGTGCTCAGAACCCGAAGCCCACCTCGGACGAGATCGGCCTCATCTCCGAGCACCTCAACCTGGAGAAGGAGGTGGTGCGAGTGTGGTTCTGCAACCGTAGACAGAAGGAGAAGAGAATCAACCCCTCCTCTATGTCCTCCTTCTCCAGCCACAGCCCCGGGGTGCGGACGAAGGCTTTTGTTCTTGTTGAGTGCGCTGTGCATAACTGTGTGTGTTTGTTTGTCTTTGTATGTATGTGTCTCAGTGCGCGTATGTCTGTTCTGTTCACGATCATTAAGGACCTTCATGATGGTGAGCGGGCCCGGGTAAAACTACGTGGCCGGGAGTCGGAGCCATTCCCTGTTCACCTTGGGGTGTGACATGGATGTCCTCTGGCTCCAACATTATTTAACAGCTATTTGACCACATAGTTCGTGAAGCCTTCAATAGCTGTACCGGAGGAATTTCCATCTGGTACAGATACAATGGGAAGCTGATCGATGCCCAGGTGTGGTCAAGGGATGGCTCCATATTGCTCAACCATGTTACATATGCCAATGATCTGGCAAATGCTGCTCACTCAGAGAAGGAATTGGAGGCACTGCTGCTGAACCTGGAGCTTGCCACTAAGAGGTGGGGCCTTACCATCAGCCTCACCAAAACTAAGCACCTGCCTGGGTATTTTGTACCATCGGACACTCCACCCCCACAACTCCCAATTGGTGATAGGGCAGATGTGGAGAGTTTTCCATACCTGGGCAGTGTGCTTATGACCGGCTCCAGTTTAACAGCAGAGGTCTCACTCCGAATCAGTCGAGCAGCATTATCTTTTTATCGGTTGTGTAACGCTGTGTGGAAGCTACCTGGTCTGTCACGCCGCACGAAGCTTCAGGTCTTCTCGGCCATGGTCATTCCCTCCCGTGGACCCCCCTAATGGAACATCTTTGCCGGTTCGAAACATTTAGGCTGGCCTGCCTACGATCCATCCTGGGTTTAACCAGGCTGGATTGTGTGAGGAGCTCACAAATCCTTGAAAGATCTGGACAAAGTCCCACCAGTGAGCTCCTCCAGCAGGCAAGGCTGCTTTGGCTGGGTCATGTAGCCCGCATGCCCAGCCATGCCGTTTAGCGATGGGGCTAAACGGGCGCGGCACGGGCTAGAGAAGAAATGGAGTGATGTGGTACAGGAGGATGTGGAGCTGAGTGGACTTGCCGATAACTGGTACCAGCGGTGTCAAGATCGGCCTCTGTGGAGGAGGCTCGTGAAGGACGCTACTGGGCAGTTGGAGGCAGTCGCCCAACGGAGGGCGGAGGAGCGACGCTCACAACAACGAGCGGAGCGCCGGGTGGCTAAAGCACAGCAAGTTTGCGCAGTAGGGAGCACAGGTGGTGCATCAGCCAGTCATCTCAGTCGGCTCGTGGCACCTGGGTCTGCCCCGTGACCTCCTGCCAGCAGGCGTTCGACACTTCACGTGGCCTCAACGTGCACCTAGCCTGGCACAAGCGTGGTGTTGACGTCACCGCCACTTAGTGGCGAATGGCAGTTTTATGTCTGTATTGGGAGCAGTAGTGCAACGGTTACCCCGCTGCCTTTATGAACCCGGCGACCCGAGTTTGGTTCCCACTGACGGCCAACACTGGTAACGATTATCTGAACCGGTCGTGGGCCTCCCCTTGGTCGACTCCGCCTCAAATGATACATGGTGCATTGTGTAAACATCACCACTGGGGAGACAAAGGCGGTCGGGTGTGGTGTTGGCTACCCACCCCCTCGTGTGCCGTACCGGCCTTCATAGGTGCTACTTGCTTCCAGTACTTTCCCCAACAGTCTGTAAAGGCTATACGTGGGACCTTTGTGTGTCTGTATAAGCGTCTGCATGTGTGTATATAAGAGGGGGCTAAACAAGTGCGGCATGGGCTAGAGAAGAGATGGGCTGATGCGGTCCAGGAGGATGTGGACTTGCCAATGACCAGTACCAGCGGTGTCAAGATTAGCCTCTATGGAGAGGCTTGCAAAGGATGCTACTGGGCAGTTGGAAGCAATCGCTCTCCAGCAACAGCGGAGGGCAGAGGAGCGACTAGCAAAAATGAGTGGAGTGCTGCGTGGCTAAAACACAGCAAGTTGGCACAGTAGGGGGCAGAGGTGGTGCATCTGCCAGTCATCTCGGTCAACCCATGGCACCTGGGTCTGTCCCGTGACCTCCTGTCAGCAGGCGTTCGACACTTCGCGTGGCCTCAAAGTGCACCTAGCCTGGCACACGTGCTGTCATGTTGTCACCGCCACTTAGTGGTGAATGGCAGGTAGTGTTGTGTGTATATAAGTGTTTATGTGTGTGTGTGCATGTCTGTGGGGAGCGGTGGCGTTGGCAAACTGCACTACGAACCCAGCGACCCGACTTTGATTCCCTCTCACGGCCTCCCATAGGTCGACTCAGCCTTAAATGAGAACCTGGTTGTGGAGTGTAAACATCGCCACTGGGGAGGCGAAGGCGGCCAGTCGTGGTGCTGGCCACCCACTCCCTCGTGTGCCGTGACGGCCTTCATAGGTGGTACTGCTCGCTATCAGCGCTTGCCCCAACAGTCTTAAGGCTACACGGTGTGTTTGTGTTGTGTGTCTGTGCTTGCTCCAGGTGACGAGCCCCGTGAGTCTGGTAACAAGCAGCCCTCCCGTGCCACAGACCGTGATCCTCTCCGCCAGCCCCTCGCTCTCCACCCTCAAGCTCTCCGGTGAGCCCCCCTCGACAAAGCAGTGCCCCCCCCACTCCTCTACACACACACTCCTGTAGTGACCCCCACTCCTCTACACACACTCCTGTAGTGACTCCCACTCCTCTACACACACACTCCTGTAGTGACTCCCACTCCACTACACACTCTCCTGTAGGACCCCCACTCCACTACACACTCTCCTGTAGTGACTCTCACTCCTCTACACACTCTCCTGTAGTGACCCCCACCTCTACACACTCTCCTGTAGTGACCCTCACTCCACTACACACTCCTGTAGTGACCCACTCCTCTACACACTCTCCTGTAGTGACCCCCACCTCTACACACACTCCTGTAGTGACCCCCACTCCACTACACACTCTCCTGTAGTGACCACCACCTCTACACACTCTCCTGTAGTGACCCCCACACCTCTACACTCCTGTAGTGACCCCCACTCCTCTACACACACTCCTGTAGTGACCACCACTCCTCTACACACACTCCTGTAGTGACTCCCACTCCTCTACACACTCTCCTGTAGGACCCCCACTCCACTACACACTCTCCTGTAGTGACCCCCACTCCACTACACACTCTCCTGTAGTGACCACCACCTCTACACACTCTCCTGTAGTGACCCCCACACCTCTACACACTCCTGTAGTGACCCCCACTCCTCTACACACACTCCTGTAGTGACCACCACTCCTCTACACACACTCCTGTAGTGACTCCCACTCCTCTACACACACTCCTGTAGTGACTCCCACTCCACTACACACTCTCCTGTAGTGACCACCACCTCTACACACTCCTGTAGTGACCACCACCTCTACACACACTCCTGTAGTGACCACCACCTCTACACACTCTCCTGTAGTAACCCCCACTCCTCTACACACTCCTGTAGTGACCACCACTCCTCTACACACACTCCTGTAGTGACTCCCACTCCTCTACACACACTCCTGTAGTGACTCCCACTCCACTACACACTCTCCTGTAGTGACCACCACCTCTACACACTCCTGTAGTGACCACCACCTCTACACACACTCCTGTAGTGACCACCACCTCTACACACTCTCCTGTAGTAACCCCCACTCCTCTACACACTCCTGTAGTGACCCCCACTCCATTACACTCTCTCCTGTAGTGACCCCCACCTCTACACACTCCTGTAGTGACCCCCACCTCTACACACACTCCTGTAGTGACCCCCACTCCTCTACACACACTCCTGTAGTGACCACCACTCCTCTACACACTCCTGTAGTGACCCATTCCACTACACACACTCCTGTAGTGACCCCCACCTCTACACACACTCCTGTAGTGACCCACTCCACTACACACTCTCCTTTAGTGACCCCCACTCCACTACACACACTCCTGTAGTGACCCCCACTCCTCTACACACACTCCTGTAGTGACCCCCACCTCTACACACACTCCTGTAGTGACCCACTCCACTACACACTCTCCTTTAGTGACCCCCACTCCACTACACACTCTCCTGTAGTGACTCCCACTCCACTACACACACTCCTGTAGTGACCACCACCTCTACACACTCTCCTGTAGTGACCCCCACTCCTCTACACACTCTCCTGTAGTGACCACCACCTCTACACACTCCTGTAGTGACTCCCACTCCACTACACACACACTCCTGTAGTGACCACCACACCTCTACACACACTCCTGTAGTGACCCCCACTCCTCTACACACACTCCTGTAGTGACCACCACCTCTACACACACTCCTGTAGTGACCCCCACCTCTACACACTCCTGTAGTGACCACCACACCTCTACACACACTCCTGTAGTGACCCCCACTCCTGTACACACTCCTGTAGTGACCCACTCCACTACACACACTCCTGTAGTGACCCCCACTCCTCTACACACACTCCTGTAGTGACCCCCACTCCACTACACACACTCCTGTAGTGACCCCCACTCCTCTACACACACTCCTGTAGTGACCCCCACTCCACTACACACTCTCCTGTAGTGACCCCCACTCCACTACACACACTCCTGTAGTGACCCCCACTCCTCTACACACACTCCTGTAGTGACCCCCACTCCACTACACACTCTCCTGTAGTGACCCCCACTCCACTACACACTCTCCTGTAGTGACCCCCACTCCTCTACACACACTCCTGTAGTGACTCCCACTCCACTACACACACTCCTGTAGTGACCACCACCTCTACACACACTCCTGTAGTGACCACCACCTCTACACACACTCCTGTAGTGACCCACTCCTCTACACACACTCCTGTAGTGACCCACTCCTCTACACACACTCCTGTAGTGACCCCCACTCCTCTACACACACTCCTGTAGTGACCCCCACTCCACTACACACTCTCCTGTAGTGACCCCCACTCTACTACACACACTCCTTTTATTGTCGAGATGTTAACTACATCGCCTGGTATGCGGGAGGTCGTGGGTTCTGTATATTTGGAGTTTGCATGTTATCTCTCCCTGTCGTCACGTGGATTTTTCTCCTGATCATCCGGTTTTTCCCCTCCACATATAGAATCATGCGTTTCGAGTATTTGGCTGTTATATATGTCCACGTACTAAGCTACTTCGTTAAGCTGACATTTGTGGCCAGGTCGCTTCTGAAAAAGAGTTATATAGCCCAGTGGGCCTTACCTGATAAAATTAAAAATAGTTTTCGTTTTAATACGTTAGGTGATCTCTAATGTCCACTCCGAGTGAAACGGACGGCCGCACGGCGCGAGGTAGTAGTGCTCGTAGTATTTTACAGTCAATATGCACCACCGCATGCACCACCAACACGTGCCTCTGATTAATGCGGTTGGCTATTTACGGTGCAAAAGAAGTTCTACATACAAACATTACTACTACCCACACACATCGCAGTATTAACGCAGGGTGGGCTGCCGGAATTCGAACCGCGAACCTCTGTGACTAGCGGCGAAAGTGCCACCTCCGGGCCACCCCGTCACTGCCCCAGCCGTTCCCCCCCACCCCCTGGCTTGGTTTCCCGCCCCGTCCGTCTGTCCGGCAGGCACCCCTCACCCCTCTCTCACCCCCGTGATCGACATGGTGGCCGTGGGAATCGTGCCGCCCGCCCCCTTCCACTGGCGTGGTTTATTGGAAGTTGCTGAAAGCTCTCTCGACGTATTGCGAACCAAAAATACAAAGATTTCCCCCCCTCCCCCTTCGTGTAGCCCTTAACGAGCAGACTGTTCAGACTGTTGGGGCAAGCGCTGTTAGCGAGCAGCTCCAATGAAGGCCGGCACGGCACACAAGGGGGTGGGTGACCAACACCACGCCCGACCGCCTTTGTCTCCCCGGTAGCGATGTTTACACACCGCACAAAGTACACATTTGAGGCTGTGTCGACCTAACGGAGGCCCGGAACCGATTTAGATAATTGTCACCGGTGTTGGCCGTGATCGGGAATCAAACTTGGGTTTCCGGGTTCATAGCGCAGCAAAGCGCAGCAAAGCGCTAACCGCTACATCACCGCTGCCCGCACATGTGCACACACGCATACACAGAAACACACATGCTCACCCGGAATGAGTATGCCCACATATACTGCGTGCACACTGGACGTGGTGGGGGGGGGGCAGTGGGGGGATTTTGAGGACTGCGAGCGGGAATCATCAAGGGGGAAGAAGACAGCAGGAAGAGGGTGATGACAGTCAGCCCGGGCGGCGCCAGGGTGTGAAGGAGGAGAGGGAACGGCGCTTTGTACATCCGCGCGCCAGCAGTGAAACACGACGCGTGCAATACCGACGAGGTGACGGAGTCGCGAGTGGCGCAGATAGACATGGAGTAGCGTAGAGAGACGTGGAGAGACACGGGGTAGCGCGGAGAGACGTGGGGAACTTCAGACGGCACCGAGCAAGGAAGAGAGCCTGCTTGGCGTCCTGACGTGACCCCTCGCAAACAAACCCCCCCCCCCTCTCCCGCCCCATCCCCCGCGACCCCCAACCGCCCGTTCCCCCTTGCCCCTCCTACTCCCTCCCGCGTCATCGGTCTCGACGTTGGTCTCGTACGCGCCTCGCTGTCCGCGAGACTGCTGACTGTTGACACTGCTCCCCAGTTTGCCTTCGCTGAATCATTGCTGCCGAAGTTGTGGCGTGCCCAGGAGGACTCGTGGCTGATGAGTCCTTTTCATGGAAAAATACATCGAGGGATGGATATGAAGGGGGGCGAATATTTTTTATTCCACTTGTTCGCTCGTGAGTTGCCAAGTTGCCAAGTTTTCCCAATAAACTAAAAACTTAGCTATAAACTAACTAGATTCGAAGCTTTCGTGACTCCAGGAATTATTCTTTGGTTCTTTCGGTAAAGTCACGTAGAAAGAAATTAAATAATAATAGAATACGACGTTTCGATTGCAACACAAGCAACCATCATCAGGTACGAATGAATGAGAAAACAAACATAGTTTCACACTTAACATCTAATTTAGCAATCTTTGGAAGAACGTAATCAACCAGGCTATGCGTTAACTGTGTGCTAACCGACTCTCTGTGTTGCATTGCATTACACTTCCTAATTTTACTAAATTGTCTTTCTACCGTGCTTGTTTCTAAGTCCATTCTCTCCTCCGGCCGCTATGGGCAGCTATTCCACACAACGCTCCGTGCTTGTTTGTGTAGAAGTCCAGTGTCCAGCTCGTCCGTCCCCTATGGGCAGGAATTCCACACAACTCCCCCTCTGCCCCTCTCTCTCTATCTAAGGCCTCGACACAGAGACGTTGTCTTTCTGTGTGCCTATGTGTGTGTCTCTCTCTGTCTCTGTGTGAGTCTCTCTCTGCTTGTGTGTCTGTCTTTGTGTCTCCGTGTCTATGTTTTGTCTCTCTCTCAAATTTAGCAATCTTTGAAAGAACGTAATCAACCAGGTGGAGTGTTGACTGTTGTGTTGGCCGACTCTCTGTGTTGTATTGCATTATATTTCCAAGTTTACTATGTTTGTTTGCTCATTAATTTGTACCTGATGATGGTTGCTTGTTTTGCAATAGAAACGTCGTATTCTATTATTATTTTATTTAATTTCTTTCTACGTGACTTTACCGAAAGAACCAGAGAGTAAGCTGTAAACTGTTTTTTTTTTTTACCAGGTAAGGCTTTGTTCCTTTTTTAGATGCGACCTTGCCACAAATGTTAACTCAACGAAGTGGCTTATCATGTGGAAATGTGTAGCAGACAAATACTCAATTGGCTGAATACGCATGTGTCAGTCAGGCAACCCATGGTACCTGGGTCTGTCCCATGACATCCTGCCAGCGAGCCTTTGATAAATCATCTAGAAGTGCTAGACGCATGTTTCCAAATGTAGAGGCAAAAACCGAAGAACCCAGAGAAAAATCCACGTGACCACGAGGAGAGAGACGTGCAAACTCCAAATATACAGCAGGCGTCAGGTTCTGGTTCGAACCCACGACCTCCTGTATACCAAGCGAGGCAGTTAACATCTCAACACCACAGTAGGAGGGGCAATGTTGCTGTGTGTGATCCCAAATTAGTAATTTGCAGGTAATTTTTTTCAGCATTGGGGATATTTAACCAATATCAGGTCCAATGTGTGTATGTGTTTAGCTATGAGAGGAAATTGGAGAAGCCAGTGGAAACACATCCAAAACAGAGGGAGAACATACAAACTCCACACGCACAACAAAGATCCCCCGTATAGCTTTAACAGACTGTTGGGGCAAGTGCTGTTAGCGAGCACCTATGAAGGCTGGGACGGCACACAAAGGGGTGGGTGGCCAACACCATGCCCAGCTTTTGTCTCCCTAGTGGCAATGTTTACACACTGCACCAGATACTCATTTGAGGCTGAGTCGACCTAGGGGAGGCCCAGGACTCATTCAATTATTTGTAACTGGTGTTGGCCATGAGTGTGAATAAAACTCGGATCGCCACGTTTGTAGTGCAGCTACACTACTGCTCCCCACACTACACACACAACAACCATTTGCCTCGAAGTGGCAGTGACGTCACCACAGCAGACTGAGGTGCCATGGGTTGACTGACTGTGATGACTGGCACGTGCACCACCTGTACTCCCCACTGCCAACTCACTGCGTTTTAGCCACCCAGTGCTCCACTTGTTCTTGTGAGCCTTGCTCCTCTGCCCTCCGCTGTTGTTGAAGGGCGACTGCCTCCAACTGCACAGTAGCATCTCTCTGTATATCTCTATGCGTGTCTCTGCGTGCGTATGTCTGTCTATCTCTACGGAAATCTCTGTTCATGTATCTGCGTGTGTATCTATATCTCTCTGCATGTCTCTGCGTGCGTGTCTCTGCGTGCGTGTCTTTATGTATATCTCTGCGTGTCTGTGCGTGCGTGTGCGTAGCGAGCGACATGGCCTCGGTGCTCAGCGGCGTCTCCGACCCGGCCATCTCATCCCCCTCCTCCGTGGGCTCCCCTCCACTGGCGGGCACCGTCGCCACTTCAAGCGACTCGCTGGCTCTGTCGCTGGCTCCTTCCACCCCCTCCTCCTCCGGCGCCGCCATCCTGCCGGCGTCCACGCCCTCCCCGTCCTTCCTGCCCTCCACCCATACCGTCTTTTCCTCACCGGTGCCCGCCAGCGCCATGTTCTCATCCTCCGCGTCGCCCGCAATGCACGGCGGGGCGGCGCACGCCTGCACCCACGGCTCGCTGGGCCCCGGCGGCGGCGGAGGAGGCGCTCAGACCAGCACCCCGGCCACCTTCGCTAACAGCCTCCTGTCCACGGCGCTCAGCAGCAGTGGCACGCACGGCAGCGGCGGTGTGCCGATCAGCAGCGGCTGCTCGTTCGTCATCACCCCAACCAGCTGCAACCTCACCACATCGGCCGCCAGCCTGCTCTCTGGCTCGGGACTGCTCTCTTCGCTCGGCGGCTCGAGCAGCACCAACGGGGGGCCCGGTGGTGGTGGTGGCGTCTGTGGCGGCGGTGGCGGAGGACTGCTGGGCTCGCTGGGGGGTGGCGGTGGGGGGCTCATTTCCGGTGGGCAGATGCTGGCGGGAGCCGGAAACGCGGGGCTGGTGAGCCCTTCGCAGCTCGCGGGGTAAGGAGTGGCCGGGCTGTGTTGGGCGGAAGTTAAAGGTCACGCGGCGTGAGGGCCAACGCGGTTTAACCTGCGAGTCCCCTGCTAATTTTGTACGTTTGCCCACTGACAAAGAAATGATCAGTCTATAATTTTAATGGTAGGTTTATTTGAACAGTGAGAGACAGAATAACAACAAAAAAATCCAGAAAAACGCGTGTCAAAAATGTTATAAATTGATTTGCATTTTAATGAGGGAAATAAGTATTTGACCCCTCTGCAAAACATGACTTAGTACTTGGTGGCAAAACCCTTGTTGGCAATCACAGAGGTCAGACGTTTCTTGTAGTTGGCCACCAGGTTTTCACACATCTCAGGAGGGATTTTGTCCCACTCCTCTTTGCAGATCTTCTCCAAGTCATTAAGGTTTCGAGGCTGACGTTTGGCAACTCGAACCTTCAGCTCCCTCCAAAGATTTTATATGGGATTAAGGTCTGGAGACTGGCTAGGCCACTCCAGGACCTTAATGTGCTTCTTCTGGAGCCACTCCTTTGTTGCCTTGGCCGTGTGTTTTGGGTCATTGTCATGCTGGAATACCCATCCACGACCCATTTTCAATGCCCTGGCTGAGGGAAGGAGGTTCTCACCCAAGATTTGACGGTACATGGCCCTGTCCATCGTCCCTTTGATGCGGTGAAGTTGTCCTGTCCCCTTAGCAGAAAAACACCACCAAAGCAGAATGTTTCCACCTCCATGTTTGACGGTGGGGATGGTGTTCTTGGGGTCATAGCATTCCTCCTCCTCCAAACACGGCGAGTTGAGTTGATGCCAAAGAGCTCCATTTTGGTCTCATCTGACCACAACACTTTCACCCAGTTGTCCTCTGAATCATTCAGATGTTCATTGGCAAACTTCAGACGGGCATGTATATGTGCTTTCTTGAGCAGGGGGACCTTGCGGGCGCTGCAGGATTTCAGCCCTTCACGGCATAGTGTGTTACCAATTTTTTCTTGGTGACTATGGTCCCAGCTGCCTTGAGATCATTGACAAAATCCTCCCATGTAGTTCTGGGCTGATTCCTCACCGTTCTCATGATCATTGCAACTCCACGAGGTGAAATCTTGCATGGAGCTTCAGGCCGAGGGAGATTGACAGTTATTTTGTGTTTCTTCCATTTGCGAATAATCGCACCAACTGTTGTCACCTTCTCACCAAGCTGCTTGGCAATGGTCTTGTAGCCCATTCCAGCCTTGTGTAGGTCTACAATCTTGTCCCTGACATCCTTGGAGGGCTCTTTGGTCTTGGCCATGGTGGAGAGTTTGGAATATGATTGATTGATTGATTGCTTTTGTGGACAGGCATCTTTTATACAGGTAACAAGCTGAGATTAGGAGCACTCCCTTTAAGAGTGTGCTCCTAATCTCAGCTCGTTACCTGTATAAAAGACACCTGGGAGCCAGAAATCTTTCTGATTGAGATGGGGTCAAATACTTATTTCCCTCATTAAAATCCAAATCAATTTATAACATTTTTGACATGCGTTTTTCTGGATTTTGTTGTTGTTATTCTGTCCCTCACTGTTCAAATAAACCTACCATTAAAATTATAGACTGATAATTTCTTTGTCGTTGGACAAACTTACAAAATCAGCAGGGGATCAAATACTTTTTTCCCTCACTGTATGTGCATATGCATGTGCCACTTTGAACAAACCTTATACAATCCACATTCACTACTATTTCTATATTACAAGGTAAGGCCCACTGATCTGTGTAGCCCTTTTTCAGAAGTGACCAGGCTATCGCCAATGTTAGCTCAACGAAGTGGCTTATTATTTATCGTGTGGAAATTCATAGCAGTAGCCAAATGCTCTAAACGTGTGATGTTGATTCTAAAATGTGGAGGGAAAAACTCGGAGAACCCGAAGAAAAATCCACGCGACTGCAGGGAGAACATGCAAACAAATATAGAGCAGGCGTCAGGGTAGGGATCGAAAACACGACCTCCTGCATACCAGGCGAGGTAATTAATATCTCCTCACCGCGGCGCTACGTTTAAAATGTTTGTGTTGATTGAAAGTCTGTCATCTGTAGAGGTGCACGCATCTACGCAAACCGGGTGTTACGGTGCCGTGTCTGTGTACACGTGTGATTGTGATATTGTGGGGAGCGGTAGTGTAGCGGGAAGCACGCTGTGCTACGAACCTGGTCACCCGAGTTCGATTCCCGCTCACTGCCAACACCAGTGACGATTATCAGAGCCAGTCCTGGGCCTCCCCGAGGTCGACTCAGCCTCAAATGAGTACCTAGTGCAGTGTGTAAACATCGCCACTGGAGAGACAAAGGCGGCCGGGCATGGTGCTGGCCACCCACCCCCTCGTGTAATGTGCCGGCCTTAATAGGTGCTCACTAACTACTTGCTCCAACAGTCTGTTAAGGCTATACTGGGTGGTCTTTGTCTGTGGTCATTCCATTTAGCGGTTAGTGTACTGCCCTACGAATCTGGCAACCAGAGTTTGACTCCGATTCACAGTGACCAACATCGGCGATGATTATCTGAATCGGTTCTGGGTCTCCCCTAGGTTGACTCAACTTAAAAAAATGAGGACCTGGTGCATGTAAATATCAGCACTGGGGAGACAGAGGTGACGGGGCGTAATGCTGACCACCCACTCCCTCGCTGTGTACTGTGTCAAGCTTCATAGGTGCTATTACTCGCTAACGGCACTTGGTCCAACAGTCTGTTAATGCTACACGGGCGGATGTTTGTCTCTGTGTGTGCCTATGCGTGTGCAGTGGCACTCTCTTGAGCATGAGCTCTGGGCTCGGAGGAGCGCTCAACCCAGCTCTGCTCACTAACAACACGCTGGCTACCATACAAGGTACGAACACACAGACACCCACACACTCACCAGCACAAACGGGGAAATCCCCTTTATAAGTCAGGGTTAGGGACTGGAAAGTTGATACTTGTAACGAAACTATGTATAACGGAGACATTGTCAACCATAAAATAATGGGAAATGGTAGGGGGGGGGGGGGGTTAGGGACCATAAGGCTGTAAACGTTGCATATGCGATGCAAAGCGGGGCGATTTCTCCTATAAGAAACAATGGAATAATTTCGGAATAGGGAGCATAACTTAGGGAAACGTTGTTTCATACCTTGCAACCAAAATGCGTACTGTACATGTACAGTACCTGTACTATACTGTACAACACAATGTACTCATTTATACTTGTCAAACACTTGTGAGCATTTTCGAAGCTGCCCTGTACAATCTTGATTATAAGTTTTCGTGACTGCAGGAATCCATACTCTTTGGTTCTTTCGATAAAGTCATGTAGGTAGAAAAATAAATAGTAAATCGCGACGTTTCGATCGCAACACAAGCAATCGTCATCAGGTGGAAAGATACAGCAGTAGAACTGCTGAACAAGAAAGGGCTGCTGCAACAAGAGGCTATATAGAGGTTTGAGGTGGGTGTCACCCAAGGGCAAGTAGGAGGGGTCAGAGATGGAAAGGAGTCCCGTCGCCGCGCGCACGCACAGCAGCTGCGTTAAAGTGAGAGATTGGCATGTCAATGTAAACGAGTTTAATGGCAAGATAGCATCTCTGTGTCAGAGGACCAGGCATAGCGCCACCTGGTGGGCAACACGAGCTGCGGCGTTGGCTGCTGCGCAGTGAGAGGCCAGCGTATCAACGCAAGAGAACCACCATAACGGTGGCCGTGCCAGTGAGACATACAGCCTATTGAACAGCGAGAGCTGCCGTTACATCGAGGCAAAAGGGAGCAGCGGTGGCTATGTTAGTGACACCTTAGTCTGTTAATGTAAAGACATTTAACAAGGTGATGGAATTCAGAGAGTCGGAAATAACTGCTAAGCAACAGCAGGAAGGATGGAAACATCACAGCAAGTTATGACTTTACTAATAATAACATTTAATAACATCCTTCCAATTATTGCTCGGTTTGTACCCATCTTCTCGGTTGAAATTGTGTCTGTGTTTATAAATCTGGATGGCTTCATGGACAAATCTTTGATGGTAGCCCGAAGGATTGCAGAGTACCTTGGTCTCAGAAAAAACAATATCGTGTGAACCCACCGCGTTAAAGCAATGATCAGCCACGGCAAAGGTATTGATTCTGGCGTGTTTCAAATCTGCCTTGTGTTCGCGAACACGGTCCAAGACATGTCGTTTCGTTTCCCTATACACTTGAAAAGTTTTCCTTTTTTTAACAGAAAACGTATTGGTGACATTTTAAAGCAATTTTTAAGTGTATAAAAACAAAAAACTATCTTAAACAGCATTTTTAAAAAGCTTTTACCTGAACCTATAATTTTTCAATGATCTCACCTTGAGGAGTGGATGAGAATTAATCAGCGGTAGACAGGATGGAGGTTAAGATGGCCCCACGCATTTTGCCCGAAATACAAGTTGCAGTACGTTTTCTATACTCGGCTGAACGGAGTCGAAAGCCGTGCAACGACGTACGTGCCGGGGAAATTTTCCATTGGGTTGCTCAAAAAGGCAGCGACGTGCGTGTGCCAAAACAATGTATAAAGGGACTCCTCTACTTACGAGGTCTGTTCTTAAGTCGATTTGTTCATAAGTCCAATTTTATAGGAATAGGTTTTACCCTTTTAACTGGCACAAAAACTGACACCTTTATTCATTATCAGAGTTGTCTTTTTTGTCTGCATTTTGACTGCTTGTGTTGTGGTCATTGCAAACATGATGCCTTGAATAAAGGTGTCAGTTTTTGTGCCAGTTAAAAGGGTAAAACCTATTTCTATATCTTGTTACTGGCAAAGGAGGTCTCAAAGTCCAATTTTACTGAGATGAGAGGGGAGAGGTAAGAGAGTGGCGTGGAGGGAAGGAGAGCGATGTGACAGAAGTGGGGTGGGTGTGCCGCGGTCGTGCTGACATCCCTGCCCTCGTGCCACCCCCAGCGTTGGCAGGCAGCGGGGCGCTCTCCATGCCGTCGCTGGAGCCGGGGGGCGGGCTGGTGATCACGGGGGCGGGGGGCGGGCGGGCGGGGGGCCCTACAGGGGGGAGCGGCCTGGTGTCAGCTCCCCTCTTCCTCAACTCGTCGGGGATCCCGCTGCTCTCCATGTCCGCCCCGTCCCCGCTCGGCTCATCCCACAGTGCCGTGCTGGCACTCGCCAGCTCGCCCAGCGCCGCCCTCATGGCCTCCCACAACGCACCGCACCCCAACTCCCAGAGTGCATCGCTGCCCGCCTCCCAGAATGCACCACAGGGGAGCCACGGGCAGACGAAGGCCTAGAGCGGCCCCCCCCCCCCCCCCCCCCCCCACCTAACCAAAGGCTACAGTGACTGCATCTCTACAGGCCTCATCTCCAACTCCTAAAGACTGAGAAACAAAGAAATTCCAAAAAGGATCTTACACCAAAGGCTAATAAATAACTACTACTACTGCTAATAATAATAATGATAGTGATGATGATGATGATGACGATGAGTGTGTGACTGTAACTGCACAGGCCGGCGCGAGACTTCATGTGGCACTGTCAAGGCCGGACGTGCGGACTCGGCGCTACCGCCCCCCCCCCTATCCCCCGTTCCACCCAACCTCCCTGGCACCCCCACCACAATGGCCCAGTCCGCCCCCGGTACCTCGTGGGGGCCTTGGCCCCTCCCCCACCTTTCCCCCCCCCCCTGCAAAACCAAAGGCAGACAAGTGAGGGGGTGATGGTGGGGGTGCCAGTTGGGGGGCGGGGGGGCCCGCAGCAGTTCGCCGGGTGAGCGTGCTGTCGAGCGTACGCGTTTTTTGTCGTGCGTCGTGCGGTGTATTTTTTGTTGCGTCGCTCGGCGGTCTCGACCTCGCAGAACACAAAGTCGGTGAAAAGTTGCGACGACGCTCGCGTTCGTTTTCGACGCTCGGCCCGCCGTTGCTGCCTCTGCCGTTGCCGCCGCCGCCGCCGTTGCCGCCTCCACGCGCGTTTTAATTTGGGACGTCGGGCGAAAAACCGCGGGTTACCTCCGCGGACTACCTTCATATCATTCCACGTTTTTTTGTAACGCTGTTTAGTTTTTTTTAGAGAGAGAGAGAAGCCGGTGATTGTGTTTTGTTCTGTCTGTCGTTTTAATTTCCATCGCTGTGTTTTGGAAGACTGAGTACCCTGGTTGTACGTCGATAATGCCAAATCTTGACGACGGGGTGGGGTGGGGCAGGGTTTGGGGAGGGTTTAAGATAAAAGTGGGAAACCTCGGGGAAAAGAATGAGAGGAACGAAAAGACGTCGGCGACTACGTGACGGCGGACGATGACTACGAGTAGGAAACGAAGTCGTTCCTGGTCAATGTGGAGAGTTAATTAATCAGTAAACCACTGCTTTAACTGAACACAGCTGTCAACCAAAAGTCGCGATGTACATTGCGAGAAATACCTCATTGCTGCACACAACGTGATTGCGTGCCGCCGAGCTTTAACCGAGAACTCGAACCAGCTCCTAGATTATTATTCTAGCTCCTAGTCGAGTAGACAAGGGGGGTGGGTGGGTGGGTGGGTTGGGGGGAGGGTTTGGGAGGTTTAAACGTAACAAAGGAGAGAGAGAGAAAAAATATAATGAAGCTTAAACAAAGTCACTAATTTAAACAAAAAAAAGCTTTAAATTAAATTAAAAGACAAAAAAATGAACGGGCCAAAACTTTTTTCTACGAGCTTTTATGATCACCAAAGGAATTCAGTGCAGTGGGTCGGCCAAATGGAGGGGTAAGGGGGTCGTGCTGCGACCCCTCGTTGACCTGCCGTGTTCTTCCCATCGCGTGACCTCCATGACCTCGTCACGTGACCTGTGTATGTTTTTTTGGGTGTTAGAGTGCAATGTCGGGGAGAGGGATGATGATTGGACTTTGACAGCCGGCGAGGGGGGGTCACACCCCCCCCCTTCCCCTCCCCCCCTGCGTCCGCCCGGTGGGGAGGGAGTGGGGGGGGGTGCAGAGGTTTTTGCTGCGCTGCGGAGAGAGAGAGGGAATGTAGGAGGGGGCTCGAGTGAGGCCCCCCCCCCCGGCCCCCCCCACCCGCCCTTCACGGGCACGGGGATCGGCTGTCGCCCGAGCTCTCTCACTCGTGCATCTGACTGTAACGGAGTTTTTATTCTTAGGATTTGTACGGTGATTGATTCTTTCTACTGCTGAATACGTAAGACAGCACACTAACCCGCATTATTATTATTATTACTGTCGTCGTCCTTAACTTGAGACCAAAAAAAAACGATCCCGCAGTGGTCCCCCTGTACCCTGAACCCCCGGGGCGCCACCGTTGTCACGTGGTGGGTGGGGGGGGTAGTGGTGAGAGGGGTCCCCCCCCCCTCATGGCCCGGCCACATCACGGGGGAGGGGGCGGGGGGGGGGGGAGATCCCCACACAACCAAAGACTGGCTCGACTCGCGCAGCCGGGCCGGGCACCAACCCACGCTCCCCCCTCCTCCCCCTCCCCCACCCCGCTCCTCGTCCGGGCGGTGTCGCCCTGGGGCCATCCTGGAGCCACCTTGGGGCCACCTTGGGGCCACCTTGGGGCCACCTTGGGGCCACTAGGAAACCAACGGGGGAGGGGGGGTCACTCCCAAGCCACTGGTGGGGGGGGGGGGGGCAACGTGGAGTCACTTAAAGAGGCCACTTTAGGCCACCTGGTGTCACGTTGGTGGACCACGATTGGGCTGTAAGAGGCCGCGCGAGGCAGGGCCCTGGGGACTCTGTGGGCCGTGCGGGACTCGAGCGATTGAGCGAGAGGCGGAGAGACCGGGCGGGGGGGGGGGGAGCGAGGGGGCCGCATGGCTCCCAGACGAGGGATGGCCTCTCGTCCTCCGCTGCTCACCGTGCCCCTGTCGGTGTGGGCCCTGAACCCTGACCCCGATCCCGGTGTTGTTTGAAAGGTCCCATCTTGGGTGGGTGGATTTGATCTTTCAGTATTTGTTGCAAGACATGAAACCGAGTAGGCTGTTTTTTAATGATTTTCTTTTGTGTTTTTGTTTTCCTTTGTACAGTACAGCACAACATTTCAGTAATGGTTTTTTGTGTAGTAGTAATAATATTGCCAATATGGGATAAGATTAGCTTTAAAGGAGTGAACTGAACTGCAGAATGAACCTGGGCTGGGCTCTGCCGCCCGGCCGCGTTCCGTACCAAAGCCGTCGCTCTGTAATATTCCTCGTGGGTTCTTCTGTCAGAAACTGTGACTTGGGTTTATCCTTCGTGTAGCTGAACTGGCGTCAGTCCCGACTTGTCAAATACCTCATTTATTTAAAACAGCTAACCAAATAAATAGCTTTAAAAAAAATTGAAAATAAGTGAAAAAAACGAGTAAGTGAAAAGGGGAAGTCCCTTGTGGCAGATCGGCGCGGGCTCCTCGGAGCCGCCACGGTGCTGGAGGGGGGGGGGAGCAAAGACGTGAAGAGAAAAACCAAAGATCTCAAAATCAAAAACTAAAAAATACAAACGAAGCGAGTGAATGTGGGACGATCATCGACCGCGCGGGCCCCTCGCGGTCTGGTGCTGGGGCGCCCCCCCCCCATCCTCCTCGCTCCTGCCCCCCCTTTGTCCTGCTGGGGGGGGGGGGCGCGGGGCGCGCGAGAGAGAGAGAGCTGGGGGTGGGGGGCCCTCCAGGGCCACGCGTTCACTTGACAATTTGCGACCTCCCGTGGCGACCCCCCGCTTTGCCGCCAGAGCCGGCAGCTTCCAAGAGGGCATGGGGGGCGGGTCGGGTCGGGGCGGCAGCCAAACGCTGCTGGGCCCTTGGCAGCGATTGTCCCCCCCCCCCCCGTTGTCTGCGGGTTTTTTTGTGTTTTAGGCGTTGGTGGGGAGGGGGGAAGCGGCCCCGTCTCTCCTCGCTGACGTCCAACTCGGCAACAACGGGAATGCCGCCGCCGCTCTGGCGCGAGGTTTGAGCCTGGCCCGCTGCCCCCGGGGTCGATTGACTCGAGAGAGAGAGGGGGGTGGGGGGGGGGTTCGCCGGTGGCTGCCACGAGGGACGGGGGCTAAGCTGGCGATTTGGATTAACACACACACACACTCCCGTGGTGCTGGGACCACAGACCACCCCGCGAGTGGGGGGGTGTGCCCCCCTCCCCGAGCGGGCTCGGCACAGCCCCCGGGGCAGGGGTACCCCCCCCCCACCTCATAAACCCACGGCTGCCGAAAAGGCCTCTGCCGCCTCTACATACAGCGTGCGTGTGGTGTGCGCGTGGTGTGCGCGGCGTGTGTGCACATCCCTCCTTATCTGCTGTGCCATGCATTGTTGGTATACTATGCAGCTTAGCTCGAGCGGGAGGCTGTCACTGCGTAGTGCGCGTGTGACGTGTGCGTGTGTAAAGTTAAGAGAGAGCTTTGCCTGTGAATGTAATTGTGCGTGTCTGTGTGTATAGCGCGAGTTTTGTGTGCTGGTGGACCCGGAGCAATGCACAGTATCACAATTGTCACAGAAGTGGCAGTCTAAACCAGGTTATTTATTATGATTATGATTCCGATTTTTTTTTACCTCGCCGAGTCTTAAGAATCGTTTTGTTCAGGAGGGTCAGTGCAAAGGTTTCACAGTAAGGGGCGATGTTGCTGCTGCTGTGTGATCCCAGTTGAGTAATTTGCAGGTAATATTTCTGTATTGGGATGTTTTAGCCCAAACCAATTACATTGTGTGTGGGTTTAGCTCTGGGAGGGAACTGGAGATTCCGGAAGAAACTTCATGCAGAACAGGGGGGAGATAATACAAACTCCACACACTCCCACGTACCCTGCAGAACAGGGGGGAGATCATACAAACTCCACACACTCGCACGTACCCTGCAGAACAGGAGGGAGATAATACAAACTCCACACACTCCCACGTACCCTGCAGAACAGGGGGGAGATCATACAAACTCCACACACTCGCACGTACCCTGCAGAACAGGGGGGAGATAATACAAACTCCACACACTCCCACGTACCCTGCAGAACAGGGGGGAGATCATACAAACTCCACACACTCGCACGTAGTCTGCAGAACAGGGGGGAGATAATACAAACTCCACACACTCCCACGTACCCTGCAGAACAGGGGGGAGATCATACAAACTCCACACACTCTCACGTAGTCTGCAGAACAGGGGGGGAGATCATACAAACTCCAAGCAGAAAGGCTCCTGAGTCGGGAATCGAACCCAGGGCCATTCTTGCTGAGAGGCACCTAACCAACGCTGTGCCCCCTTGCCCAGATGATGAAGTCTCCCACTTTAATTTATGTTGTATGCATTATTCACTGGCTCAGTAATAACATATCGCGTGAATGTATGTATTGTAGACAAAAAACGAAACCATTGCTTTGAAACCGTCGATTTTCTATTGGTTTGGAGGAAACAAGATAAATGTGGTTCAAGATTGCCTGGCAAACGTTCAGCAAGCCGGCAAACTATTCACGAGTTGGGATGGCACCGTCCCAAACAACGCGTCCATTGTACTGTGGATTGCTCCACCTGTGAGTGTGCGTGAGCGACTGTGTGTGTGTGTGCGCGCGAGTTTAGTGCCCGTGTGTAATGAGTTACTGTGTGTGTGTTACTGTGTGTGTGCGTTACTGTGTGTGTTACTGTGTGTGTGTTACTGTGTGTGTTACTGTGTGTGTGTTACTGTGTGTGTTACTGTGTGTGTTTGTGTGTTACTGTGTGTGTTACTGTGTGTGTGTGTTACTGTGTTACTCTGTGTGTTACTGTGTGTGTTTGTGTGTTACTGTGTGTGTTACTGTGTGTGTGCGCGAATGCCCCCATGTACAGGGGTCGGCAACCTGCGGCTCCGAAGCCGAATGTGGCTCTGAGGACTGCTTCGTGGCGTTATTTATTAAGGACCACCGTCTCGTATACACATTGCTTTGTGGTTCTTGAAATAGTGAGTTGTTTGACGAATTCGAAAAAATGGCTCTTATTGTTATTTTGGTTTCCGACCCCTGGTCATGTACATCCACGTGCGTGAGTGTGTAGGTATGCACACCTGTGCGTGAGTGTGTAGGTATGCACACCTGTGCGTGAGTGCGTATGCCTGTGCTTAAGTGTCAGTGTGCACGCCTGAGTGTGTGTACGCCTGTGCGTGCCAGTGTGTATGCCTGCGTCGATTCGTGAGCGTGCACACTCGTGTATGAGCGAGTCCCGTAGGGTGTGCATGCATGCCTGTGCGTGAGTGCACACTCGTGTATGAGCGAGTCCCGTAGGGTGTGCATGCATGCCTGTGCACACTCGTGCTTTGAGCGAGCGAGCGAGTGTGTACATGTGCACGTCTGTGAGTGAGCGAGTGAGTGTGCCGGCACACGGGGAGGGGGGGGGGGGGTCCCCCATCCGCACTGAGCTCCGCGTGGTGGGGGGCTTGGGGGTTGGGTTTGGATTGGGGGGCTCTGTCTGTTGGCCGCCGTCTCCGCTCACCCCCCCCCCCCGCCGTGTCGTGTAGGAGGCAGCGCCAGGCGCCGCCTCATCATCCCAAAGCGCAAGAGGAACCAAAATCTCTGCCTTCTGTGATACCAAAGACGCTAACAAGTTGTGGTGGCCCTCACCGTGTGTGTGTGTGGCGCCCATCCAAGTCCCCAGCTGAGCGCCAGTCTAACCTCACTGATCCAAAGCGTATAGATAGATGTATATATTTTGCTAGCTCTAGCCTGAATGCTGTTGTAACACGTGATGATCCAGAGATGTATATGCTGTCGTGGTCTAGAGACAATTAGGTTTAGTTAATTCTTGGTGGTATTGTCAGTAAAAAAATTGTACTGTATCTGTATTCATTCGTAAACTGTTGTATGTCTTTGGCAAAAGATAAAGAGAAAAAAAAGGATTTGTGTTAGTATTATGTATGTATTTTATCAACTGTTAAGGTTTTTACCTCAGTAAGTAACTTGCTGATGACTAGGTAGTGGAGATGACACGTTTGTGGGGTTGGGCAGGAACAAAAACCCGCTCTTGTAAAGGCAAACATATCGTGGTTATTTTTCCTATCAGGCGGTCGGTTCTTCTGGGCTGTGTTATCGCATTTACTTCTAGGCACTGGGGTACGTGTGTGTGTGTGTAATGTCGCGACTTGTGGGGCCGGTTCTGTGGACGGGCGCATCATGTAAACTTTTAACACCCCCCGTGAACGCTCATAAACGATGTGGAACTGCCGAGACGCCGAGTCGTTTTTGCCTCGTGTTGCACCCGCCCGAGCTGCCGGCCACCGCCCTGGGCCGGCCACCGCCCTGGGCCGGCCACCGCCCTGGGCCGGCCACCGCCCTGGGCCGGCCACCGCCCTGGGCCGGCCACCGCCCTGGGCCGGCCACCGCCCTGGGCCGGCCACCGCCCTGGGCCATGCTCCCCTCACGTACAAATACCATCACCAATTCCCACAGACACTACCCCCCTAACCATGCTACATACTCAACAAAATGCGTTGATTTTGGTGGCGCGGAGATAACGCTCGTTTCCTTGCGTCAAGACTGGCATCAAATTGCCACAGCTATTCTGTGAGGGTTCGTCTTGGATGAGTGGTGGAGGCCGCTGATTCGCATGCCATGCTCACTCCTGTAGACGCAACCCGGGGGGGGGGGTTGTTTAAGGTCTGCGGAATCTGGGTTGGAGTAGAAGACCAAATGCGCCAAGCAAAAAGGGATTACCACAACTGTTTTATAACGATACTTATTTTTTTTTTACCCTTTTATCTGTCAACAAAACTGACACCTGTTTTATACAAGGAGTCATGTTTGCATTGACCACGATACCTGCCGTCGGAACGCAAACAAAAAACAACTGATAATGTATACACTGTCCTTGAAATTGATTGGTCCACACCCGAGACAGCTTTCCTTAGAGCCTAGTCTCACATGGTGTTGGACCAGATGACGCCAAAAGGTGCAAAAAAAGTGTCAGTTTTGTTGTCACATAAAAGGGTAAAAAACCAATTATATTTTGCTACTGGCAAAGGAGGTTCCAATGATTTATAACTGTTACGGGTTTAAGCCTTTAAGTAAGAGTGAAACGTATTACCATAGAAATATACACTAACATGCACCGGTGGAAAAACCAGGGAAACAACCTCAGGTTCAACAGTCCCCAACAACCAAACTTCACCTGACCAGGTGAACACTAAATGCCCCAAGCGTATCTCAATTTCACAACAGCAACCACAAAGCACATATCCGACGCACTTGAACTTCATTAACCTTGAAATCAGAATAGGAAGAGACCGCGCACATTAAACAGAACAAAGTCCTTTGATAAATGTTCTTGCTAGGTCACAGAAAATAAAGATCTTATTGCCGAGAGAATGTCTTGAAGTGGGTGCGTCGCTAAATAGTCTGTGTATGGGAGTGAGAACGTGCTAGGGTGAAGAAGGAGGAGTGTTGATGTAAGTGCAAGGGAGCAGCAGCTTATGGCCCTTGCAGATCTTTACAGCGCTCTCTAACTTCTGTCTAGGATGCCCACGAGCGCCCAGGTCACCAAGGGAATGACACCGCACTGGCCCTTCTCACAATGTTGGTCACCCTTGACCAGCGCTCCCTGCCTTGCTGCCCAGCCCTCGAGTTGCCAGGCGGCAAACCTCGTGGTGGCCCTCCTCGTAAGTTGCGCAAACATGCAAACTCAACCCCTTCGGTGGGACTCGGTGGCCCACTACGATGACAATTCTCAGCAGCCTTGGTATCGCCACCTCAGAGACGACATTCAGGTCCAGCCGGTCCTCAGAACTCTGTTCCACCGCACTAGCTAGTCCTGCCTCGTGCAGCAAAACGGTCGCCGAGGTTGTCTTGCCCAAGTGGCTATGGCTGCATTCAACGACCTGACGAGAGTTCTTGACACACTCCGCGACTTACACAGAAACCGGGCCCACCAAACCATACACAGTCTTGCTAACGCCTTTATTTTAGGCACAAACCTTTGGGAGTATGCAATCTAGTCGGTATGACCCGAGAGTGCAGAGTTAGAAAAGCCTTATCTCTCGCTGTCTACCCACACAGTCGACCAAGCATCCTCACTCGAACCTGCAATCACTGGCATTGTACGGACGCTGTGAGCGGCGAAGAGAGGAGAACTACGGTGAAGACTTTGGAGGCAAGATGGCCTCCTCGTCTCACCTTTTTATTCCCAACTTCAAAGGACCTTGGTCAAGTAATATCGCACGGCCAATCGTCCGCCTACCTG